TACCTGTGAATATCCCTGCACCATCATAGGAGGTGGCCTTCAGGCTGGCCTGCATGCACCTGAACTCCCGTCACGGCCTCATGCTCACACGTGTTGTGGCCTGCTGCTTCCACTTGGTGCTCTTCAATAGTATTTTTTGCCCCCTAACGTTCAAGATTTGAGCACTGTCATGTTTTCTTTTTGGTAGATCAAGTCAGAGTGAGTCAGCCTACCCCAAAGTTGAAGTGAAATCTATTTTTGGTCATATTTCCCACCCCTCCACTACCTTTAAGGTCTTATTGGGCCTTATGTTGTTCAAGAGAATGGCCGAGGCCACAGATCGTCAACCCATGACCGATGGGATACCCAGCTCCCTTTCCCTCACCTGTGGGATTTTGGGGTGTCTGCTGAGCTCAAAGAGGTGCCAGAGCCTCTAGCATCCCAGGCCTCCCAGACTCTGGTCCTGACATCCCCACATCTACCCCAGGGTCCAATGGGCTAATCTTCAGAGAGGGCTTTAAAACACAAGCAACCAGTGATTCCATTTCCCCAACCCCCACCTCAAAGGGGACCTAGAGCTTCCTGAACAAAGGGCAGCCTTCCAGGGGAGGATAAGGGAAATGGAAAATTACATTTTCATTCTTTAGCATCTCCAAACAAGAGCCAGAATGAGACAGAAATAAATTATATCATATGCATTCTCATGTTGCTGCATAAGCTTCAGAATGCTCATTTTTAAATTTATTTATAGGTTGTCTCGTTCCTGAAGGGAGTTCAGGCAGCTACAAGAATAAAGATAACAAAATAGAAAAAATTTAAATTGAAAAAAATTGCACCCAGGAAAAACATGCAGTAGAACAAGATGTCAATTATCACACATTTTCTGCCTGCAAACTCCCCCTAGAGTTGACATGCTACAGATACAAAAATAGCCCCTCCTGTTGGATATTGCGTTTATTTCATTTCGGTGATTTTTTGCTGTGGTTGTGGTTTGGTTTTGCTGTGACAGATACTGCAGCTGACACCATCTTGTCTGCCCCTCTCCACAGCCAGGGCCCAGCTCTTCTTGGCAAGTCTTACGCTTCCTCTCTCCTCCTTGGTGGAGGCCCTGACTCAGAACAGCATCAGGGGACAAGGTTACCTCCAGAACGGGTCCCCCTTCCTTCTCCAGTTTCTCTGAAGTTCTTCACTGTCTACCCTCCCCTCTGCCAGCTGGTGCAGCCACAGGCATTGCTGATGCATATCCTGGCCTGCTTGGGCAGAGAGGTGGCTCAGACAGAGCTGGGAGGTTCATAAGTTAAGGGGCAGAAATCAGGGTGACTGCAGGCCTCTCACCATGCTCCCTCTGCTGCCAGCAGCAGACACACCATTAACCCCTTCCCTCCCCCCTCTGTTGCCTTGGCTATCGGACTGAATGGGAAATGGCCCTGTGTACTTCCAAACACACTGCCCCTCCCTGCAGGTGCACCCTGAGGGGTAGGCCCAGGCAGTGAGCCTGCAGCTTCTCCCCTGGCCTTTTATGCGGACAAAGCTGAAGTTGGCCAGAAGCACCGATGGCTAGCTATGCCTCCCTGACACAGGGCTTCTGAAATATTTACTGGTGCTTTGTACATGAAAAGCTGGTTTTGAGGAGCCAGGCCAGCTTCCACAAGGCCAGGCAGCATTCCTTGGGCAAAGCCAGGGCGAGTGGTGACCTGAGCTCTGGATTTCAGCTGATGTGTTATTTTGTTTTGTTTTGGGGTACTTAGGAAAAGCTGGCATAATCGTTCAGTACTATGCCCCCAGAATCCAGAACAATGTTGGGAACAGGGGAGACCCTCAGAAAAGATTTTTGAATGAATGACTCTTAAAGGCTATTGGGGTGGGGGCGCTAAGCCATACCTGTGAATATCCCTGCACCATCATAGGAGGTGGCCTTCAGGCTGGCCTGCATGCACCTGAACTCCCGTCACGGCCTCATGCTCACACGTGTTGTGGCCTGCTGCTTCCACTTGGTGCTCTTCAATAGTATTTTTTGCCCCCTAACGTTCAAGATTTGAGCACTGTCATGTTTTCTTTTTGGTAGATCAAGTCAGAGTGAGTCAGCCTACCCCAAAGTTGAAGTGAAATCTATTTTTGGTCATATTTCCCACCCCTCCACTACCTTTAAGGTCTTATTGGGCCTTATGTTGTTCAAGAGAATGGCCGAGGCCACAGATCGTCAACCCATGACCGATGGGATACCCAGCTCCCTTTCCCTCACCTGTGGGATTTTGGGGTGTCTGCTGAGCTCAAAGAGGTGCCAGAGCCTCTAGCATCCCAGGCCTCCCAGACTCTGGTCCTGACATCCCCACATCTACCCCAGGGTCCAATGGGCTAATCTTCAGAGAGGGCTTTAAAACACAAGCAACCAGTGATTCCATTTCCCCAACCCCCACCTCAAAGGGGACCTAGAGCTTCCTGAACAAAGGGCAGCCTTCCAGGGGAGGATAAGGGAAATGGAAAATTACATTTTCATTCTTTAGCATCTCCAAACAAGAGCCAGAATGAGACAGAAATAAATTATATCATATGCATTCTCATGTTGCTGCATAAGCTTCAGAATGCTCATTTTTAAATTTATTTATAGGTTGTCTCGTTCCTGAAGGGAGTTCAGGCAGCTACAAGAATAAAGATAACAAAATAGAAAAAATTTAAATTGAAAAAAATTGCACCCAGGAAAAACATGCAGTAGAACAAGATGTCAATTATCACACATTTTCTGCCTGCAAACTCCCCCTAGAGTTGACATGTTACAGATACAAAAATAGCCCCTCCTGTTGGATATTGCGTTTATTTCATTTCGGTGATTTTTTGCTGTGGTTGTGGTTTGGTTTTGCTGTGACAGATACTGCAGCTGACACCATCTTGTTGAGGGCTTTGTGCTTCTCTTGAACGATAATTCAAGAGAAATTCTCAGGAGAGGGATTATAGGATCAGAAGGCCTGAACTGTGTGGCTCTAGCTACAAGGCACCAGATTGCTTTCCAAGCACAACTGCGCTGATTTACAGTCTACCTGGGAGCTGATTCTTTAGCTGGGAGTTGAGCCCCAGAATGTGTCTGAAAGTCTTGGCCTGGGGCAGGGGTTGAGGGGTGGTGCACAGGTGCCTTCTGTCACTTGAGCCCCCTCTCTTCCATAATTGATGGGAATGCGCAGGAGAGGAACTGGAGGCCCCTACCCTGAGGGAGCTCCCTGGAACGACTGGCCCTGGAGGGTGGGGGCCCGGCTGCCTCCTCTTTAGAGCTGTATGTTTGGTGAGGCTCAAGGGGCCTGGGCCTCACACACGTCCTCCTTCCCCTCCTCCTCTTCAGCCAGTGATCACTGTAGTGCGTCTTATGTCTCAGGTCTAGGTCCCTTAGACTGTAGGAAAATCAATAATGTTTACACTGCCTGCTGCCAGAGACTACAAGGGAGGGCTGTGGCATTGTGCTGGGCACCTAGAGACCATGAAGCCTTCCTCAGGAAAGCAGCTAAGGCCTAGTGTTGTGTGATACTGGTGTTGACGAAAATCTCTGTGATCAGAGAGATTGGCAGTGCCCCAACAGCTCCACCGGTATCTCCTCCATGAGACTGGAGCTGTCCAATGGCAGGGGCTATGTCTCCTTCATCAGAGGAGGAATTCCCCAAAAATGGGCACAATGTCTTTCTTATCTGCTTGGGAACTCCCTGGGGGCATGTTCTGCATCCCCATCATCTCAGGGGCTTCCTGAGAGCACAGTTCTGTCTCCTTCCTCAAACTAGGACCTCCCTGAGGGCAGGGGCCATATCCATCCACCTGCTTGGGGTTCCACACCACACACTGTGTGTACATGGGGTGGTGCTGGACTCGTGGAATAAGTGGACAGTTAGCTTCTTGGAATGGTGTTGACCACCTGACACTTCAGAATGTCAGTGACTTCAGTATTCATTAGACAGGGACCCATGCACAGGCTGAGCCCTAGGCCTTTGGCTCCTTCTGCTTCAGTTTGGCTGATTATAGAACCAGACTCTTTTCTGGGCTGGCCTGGAAGAGGCTTCTGGAAGGAAAAAGGATGAGATGGAAAAGTGGCAGTGAGGACGGCCATCTCTTACTTTGGAAGGACTGCTCTCTCTGGAAGTTCAGGACCCCATGCCCAGACCTTGAGCATCTCACACCTCGGGCCAGAGGAGCAGTGATCTTTGGAGCAGGGTGCAGCTAATCGCCCATGCAATGTGATATTCAGGCAGCACCTAGGGCTCACAGAGCCTGGGCCCTGTATCATCTTCTCTCACCTTGGAGGGAAGCAGAGTAGTATGTGAACCAGTAAGTACAAGTTTACAAAAATCAGGTGAAGAAACTGAGGCATAGGGAAGGTAGTGACTTGCCCACGGTTACAAAGCTTATACCTACAGGAACTTCACCCTTCTGTCACTTTAGGTCCAGCTCTTTTTACTCTCTGGGGTTCCTACTGAAGAGTCTGAGGGTCCACTAAGCAGAATAAGGAGGAGACCTCTGTTGTAGCAAACCAACTGCCCCATGTAGGTAGGGACTCTAAGCCTTAAAGCTAAGGAAGTCCCTATTTTAAGCTCTCCTTAGTCACTATACCTCAGTGTGAATGCATTTGAAGATTAGGAAGCCTGTAAGCCTCAGAGAGAGCCTGGCTTGGGAGGATGCAGGGACCAAAGGCAAAAAAGAGTAGCAGCTTGGTGCCCCAGAAACTCATGCAGGTAGCCGCCTCACCAATCCCTTCCCCCACCACATTCTCCAGGGGCTTCTTTTACACTGTCCCATAGAGCAGAAGAAGAATGTTTAAGCCTTTATTTAAGAGCTTAAGTCTCAGAACTGGGACAAGGTCCTGAGGAAAACAAAATAAGGAGTTGGAAGTGCTGTAGGGCTAGAGTTCTGCCGCTGCTCTACCCCAGTGCTAGCCCACAGGCGAGGAAAAAGATCCCATAGGCTGCCCCACAGCTAGCCTACCCTGGACAGCTTCATTTTCAGCTCTCATCTCTCCCACTAAACCTCCCTTTGTGCTTCCTCTGCAGTTTTCATGAATACGGCCATCCCCATCGCAGCTGTCCTCATCGTAAGTGGGGTCCTGTCTCCATCTCCTGGCAGGGAGGGGGGAAGGAGTCTTTAGTGAGAGGCTGCCCAGGCTCTGCCTTCCTGTGCAGGAACTTCGGAAGATGGGCTCAGCAGTTGGGGCTGAAATTAAGGCAATGGGTTGAGAGTCTATATACAGAGTGGGTCCCTCTCCCTGACTCCATATAGGCAGGGGCTTTTGCCTCTGGGCCTGGAAGACCTGAAGCTTAGTCTTTAAAGAAATTAAACTTTATTTTTAAAATAGCTATCAAACTTTTTAGTTATAAAAGTGAAATATGTTTATTATAGAAATGTTGGACAATTCAGAAAGGAAATGGCTAAGAGAATTTAAATCTCCCATAATCCCACTGGAAGCATCTTTAATGTATTTCTTTCCAGTCTTTTCTTTAGGCACATAATATGACACTTTTACAAAAATAGGACTGTGCTGCTCATGCAGTTTTGCCACCTCCTTTTTTTAAGAATTCAAAAATATGGCACAAACAGTTCTCCACGTTAAGTATTACAGTGCAGGTTTCTAAAGCGATTTTGACCAAAGCTGTGTGAGTTCAGCAGTGGGGGCCCAGAGTGTGCCCCTCCAGAAAGGTCTGGGCCCCCACAGGCCCACAGCCCCTTCACCCAGGGCTCCCATCCCCGGCTGCTGTGAAGGCCACAGTTCTTTAAAAAGATGCCTCTGTTTCCCCCGGGACTGATGTCCCTGAGCTGTGCTAGTGCACAGCCTATCAGGCTCACTTGGGGATTCACTTCCGACATGATTTATTGGGCTGGTTCCGGCATGGCTCCTTGAGGAGCTCTGGATAACAGGCTGCTGAGCCAGCCCGGTTGTGGGGCAGCCACAGAGAGGAGGGGGTTTGTGATGATCGTGTTTACATTTTCCCCACCTGAGGACTGCTGTCTGAGGAGAAGGCAAGGCCGGCCTAACCTAATCCTCTCTGGTCATTCCTGGCAAGGATGGGGCAGGACAGGGAGGGAGTGGCCCCAACCCCCCTCAGCTTCGAGTCCTGAACTTTTTGGGGACATTTCCATGGGATGACCAGGACGATGAAGGTGTCCCTAGCCAAAAGTTCCCCCTGGGTGTCCTGTTCCAGCCCTCTCCTCTCTTCCCACGGGCTGAGGGCTACCACTGTGGGAGGGGCTCACGCTCAGAGTCACCCCCATCTCACTCGTGCCTCTGTCCACAGACTTTCGTGGGCCACGTCAGCTTTTTCAAAGAGGCTGACTTCTCCCCCTCCGTGGCCTTTGCTTCCCTCTCCCTCTTCCACATCCTGGTCACACCGCTGTTCCTGCTGTCCAGTGTTGTCCGGTCTACAGTCAAAGCTGTAGTCAGGTGAGAGGAGGATGCAGCAAGGGCCCTGGATGGGCAGCCCCGGGGCTGGCTCCGGGCGCCGCTGCGAGCTCAGCTCTTTGGTCCCAGGACATACTTCTTCATTGATCTGCACCTTGCTGAAGCTGATCTTGCTGATGTCACCTCCAAGAAAACACTCTAAAAAAAATTCATTGTGGAGCAAGATTGGTATATCCTCATGAATTCTATCCATTGGTCCTAGTTCTGCCCTCCAGAGACACACAGAATGAGCTCCATACCTCCCCTCAGACTGCAAAATGTTTGTCTTCCTCAGGCTGAACGTGGGTCCCAAAGCCTTCCCAGCCCTGAACAGCGAAGCAGCTTCCCCAACATGCCTGTGCACCCTGTCCCCAGTTGGCCTGCAGCTCTGCCAGGCCCCCACTTCCAAGCTCTAGAGCCCAGAGGGGACTCTGCCACTCTCTCAGAGGCATCACCCTCTTGGGAATGAAAGCCTGAAGGTAGAGGGCTCAGGCTTTGCCTGGAATATGAAGAACTCCTCAGGCCTCTGAAGTAGCTCCTTGAAGGCAAGGGCTTGTCATGTGTCTGGAGAGAGCTCACTCAGTCCTTTCCTGTTGCCAGTGGGAGCAGACAGAAACAAATGTCCTCCGTACCCCAGTCCCTTCAGCCTTGAGGAAAGGGATGCCCCTAGGCAGCTGGTAGGGAGGATTGGAATGAAGTAGTGGATGGAAGGAGCAGCTAATGCGAGGAAGCTCTGCAGAGGTTGAAGGATGGAAGGGGGCACCACTCAGCAAAATTGGGGTCAAAGGAGTATCTAACCAGGGAGGAGAAGGCTGGAAAAAATAACTCCTGTTTCCAGGGTTGGCTATGCTGACTCAGCTTTGTTGATTATGGTACTGTGACTTCTCATGATCGCCTCTTCTCCCCAGTCTCCCTCCAGCTTTGTGATTCTCTATAAACCACAGGTTCAAGGATGCTGCACCTGCTGGAAATCCCTTGCACTGATCCAGAAGCATTTCCATATGCAGTCACTTCTACTCTGTCACCAGAATAGCTGAGATAATGACACCTCCCCTGTTCCCCTCTCCCCCAGCAAGATTAAATTATGTGTTTAAAAAGCATTTAACACAGTGTCTGCATATAGTATATGCTCCATAAATATTAGCTATTGTTAATAACCAGTCCTAATCCTAACTAACCTTCACACTGACCAGCCTTTACTCTAACAGTAACTGATAAAGCCCAAACCAACCATCCTTCTGTCTAATCAACTTTACCATTAACCATAAACCTAACCAGTCCTGCCCTAATCCAGACCCTAAACCACTCCATCTGACAGGTCCACCCTAACAAATCCTGGTAGCACCTATTCCCCGCCAGCGGATGCCCACTCGTCTGTCCCCCTTCAGTGTGGGCTTCATGAGGCCATGCCTCAGGACCCAGAATCTTCTCAGAGCGGCTTTCTCAGGTTGCCCCCTCCTTCCTCTTCCCTCCCTCTGCCCCGGCAGGGGTGAGGGGTGTCTCTGTGCTTCCTCTGCAGCGTGCAAAAGCTGAGTGAGTTCCTGTCCAGTGCAGAGATCTGCGAGGAGCAGTGTGCTCCCCGGGAGCCGGCACCCCAGGGCCAAGCCAGCAAGTACCAGGCGATGGTGAGTGCCCAGGCCTGCCCTTGCCACTCCCAGTGTTTTTCCCTAATGCCTGCAGCTTCTGCCTTGCTACTTCCTGCCACAGCCTTTCCTCAAGGAAGGAGGCTCCCTTCCCTGCACAGCTCCCAGCCCCAGGAGCCCTCACCTCCTCCTAACCACTCCCAGCCCCTCAAGGTTGTGAACCGCAAGCGTCCAGCCCGAGAGGATTGTCGGAGCCTCACTGGCCCACTGCAGAGGCTGGCCCCCAGTCCAGAAGGGAATACTGACAGCTGCTGTGTCCAGGTGAGTCCTAGGCCTGCCTCCCCACTCCTGTCCCCCAGTGCCAGCTTCAGGAAGACCGGAGACATGTGTGCAGAGTCCTGTGCCCCAGAGGTCACCTTGCCTGCCCATAAGGTCCCTAAGAGTCCTGAGACAAGGGACAAGTCTTCCATCTCTACCGAGGGGGAGAGTTCTCTCGGGGGAGGTGCCTGGGGCAGTGGTTGGCATGTGAAGGCTATTCCCCCACCCTGACCCTGTCCTGGAAGTCAGCCAAGGACTGAATCAGGGGTTTTTGGCTTTCATTGGGGGAGGGAGGCAAGAGACTGTTCGCTGAGAACCCAGCTGCCTTTCTGTTCTCTCCCGGGGGGTGGGGTGCCGCCGATGAAGATCATTGGAGGCTTCTTCACATGGACCCCTGATGGAATCCCCACACTGTCCAACATCACCATCCACATCCCCCGAGGTACAGCCCTGCTCACCTCTCCCTCGTGGGTTGGGGGCATCCTCCTGAGTCATGTCTGAGGTCCCACTGAAGGACATGGAGAGAAAAAGAAAAATCAGCACCTACTGAGTACTCTGTGTGCCCTCTTGAGTACGCTGGTGGAGCTGTGGTATACGAACGCTGGAGGGGATGGACTGCACCTGGAGGAGTTCTTGTGCTGGGTAGGAGGGCAGCGCAGGGACCCGCATGGCAGCAGGGCCTGGATGTCACACCATCTGTTGCAGACAGTTGGGTGCTTTGTGAAAAAGAAGAATAGACTGGAGCAACCAGAGAAGTTGTAGAAGAGGTGGGGTTTCTGAGAATGAGCAGGATCCCTCTGGCCACGTGGCAGGGCAGATGTTCTGGCAGAGCAGCCACACGAGCAAAGCACAAAAGTAGGATGGAGATAGGACACAGGTGGCCTTTGTGAGGACCACGAGGAGCTGGGTTCATGCTGGGGAGCTCTGGAACAGAGAAGGGAGGCTTTGGGAAGGGACAATGGAGGAAACACCTGGGGAACCAGAAGGAAGTTTTAGATTTCCAGGACAGGCTTGAGGGGGAAGGACTTCCTGGGGACTGTAGGAAGGAGGAAAATAAATGCAGGCCCGAGGGTTTGGTCTGTCTGTCTGTCTGTCTTTCTGGGTGGTGGTTGTTCAGACTCCCATCTGGCCCCACTCCCATCTGCCGCCATCCTCCTGCAGGCCAGCTGACCATGATCGTTGGGCAGGTGGGCTGTGGCAAGTCATCGCTCCTCCTAGCCACCCTGGGGGAGATGCAGAAGATCTCAGGAGCCGTCTTCTGGAACAGGTACTAAATGCATGCTCAGGGCTCAGTTAGTTGGGGGAGACTAACAGTGAGCAGGTGGGCACCCTTCTTTCAACCATCCTTCTCAGCTGAGGATGCAGCATGTATTTATTGAGCACCTACTGTATTCAGTGAGTACTCAACAAAGGCAGTTCATCATCATTCTCATGATCATCTTTAGTATTTATTAAACCCTTCCTATGTGCCAGGTACTTTGCTAAGTCCTCTGCACACATTATTTCATTTAATCCTTATGATTAAATAAGCCAGCAAGGTAAATTCTATTAACAGTTCTCATTTTATAGAGGAGGGTTAAACTCTTTGTCCTAATCCACACAGCTAATAGGTGGCAGAGCTGGAATTTTAACCCAATTCTGTTTGACTCCAAACCCCACGCTTACTCAGCTGCCAATCTGCCCAGTGTGGGGAACTGCACCATGAATCTCGGTTTCCAGCTTGCTCACCAGCAAAGCTGACACAGACCACTCTGCGGGTGTTTTCAGGAGCCAGAGGAACCCAGGCAAACGTGGGCTTCTGGGCAATGATTACTATCTTAATTAAAGAGCCAGAACCCCAAGCTGATTCAATCATGCATCTATTATTTATACTTACCTGCTTCCAAAAAGCATTTGAAAGTATGATAAAAGATACATATAAAATGGAAGCTTTTTAAAAAATAAGAAAAGAAGAGTAGAGAAACGCAGAGGTTGGAAAAGGTGTTCAGAAACCTGGCCAGAGGACAACTATTGCAGTCACATGTGACCTGGTTCAGAGCCCCTCAGCAGTCAAGGGAAACAGGGGACTGATAAAGGTTTGTAGAGTTGTTCAGGAATAAAGGTTGCAGCCAGTTCAATAGAGGGCAAGCTGCCCCTAGCAATCCTGTTAGGGGGAAATTATCAGACACGATGTCAGGTTTTTCATAAGCAGGAGCACAGAACTGAGCCCTATGTCTGGATACCCACATGCACCCCAACTTTCCTGCTTTTCTAGAATGTTCCTGAATTGTATAGCCAGGTGGGAAGTTTCCTTCCTCAGTGGGGCTGTGTGCTAGCAGACAAGCCCCTTGGGTTTCCCATAACCTCAGTCTCTAGAGCCTTAATTTCACTGGGGACCATGGTGGAGACAGAAGGGTCTCTGTCTCCATTCTCCATCTTATTTGGGAATTTCTCACAGCCTGACTGGGAAGATCCAGGCATTGGGTTTAGGATCACTTTGCCTTAAACTTTCCCTGGTAGTGATGTCCTCCAGGCCTTTGGAGTGAGGAGCTCTTGCCTGTTGGCTGACAATGTGTATCTGTGACAGGAAGACAGGAGCCCCCAGTGAACTGTGAACGAAAGAAAGCACCCAGTATTTATTGGGCATCTGCTATGGGCCAGGCCCTTTGCTAAACTCATAGTAAGCAGTACAATTAACAGTTAATTCTCCCACTAAGCCTCCCACTGGGTGTTATCACCCCATTTCACAGATGTAGGAACCGAGACCAAAGAGACTGGGTGACTTACTCGTCAGCATGGAGCAGGGATCCAAACCCCGGCTCTTTCCTCAAGCCTGCCCTCTGCCGCAGGCTGGGGTCCCCTGGGTCCCAGTTCCCTGTAGAGGGCAAGCTGGATCCTGGCCCTCTGAGGCAGGCCTTTTCCAGATGGGATTACAGAGCTGAAACTGGGGCTGCCCCAGATTCCCTTGTCTGTGCCCCACTTGGCATGAGTCAAACTCCCTCCGAGTCTCGTCCCTTTGCCCCACTTACTTCCTCCCTTCCCCTCCGCCTCGCCCTCAGGTGCCCTCACGCCAGCGTCAGCACCTCTTTGTCCTCCGCAGAGGCAGCAGGCCTGCTTGGCGCAGCTAAGCCCTGTCCTGCTTCCCCCCACCCTCCTCTCTGAGTTATCAAGCTCAGGGTCTGACTGCTGCTATCTCCTTCAGAACCTCAGCTTCAGACTGCAGAATATGAGGGACCTCGCTAGGGCAGCTAGCACTGGGCACCTCCTATGTGCCAGGCACTGCGCAACGCACTTTATTTACTTCTGTGTCTCAGTCACTCTTCACCAACCAATGTGAGGTGGGTATTACTGTTATCAGCACTTAACAAATGAGGAAACTGAGGTGAAGCTAGCTGCCCAGGGCCACCCAGCTCTTAAATGGCAGAAGTGAGATTTGCATGGAGGTGCTCAAGTGCACGGGCTTACCCTATGCCTGAGAGAAGAGGCTCAAGAGCAACACGAAGAAATAGCTGGCCTGACAGACCAAAGGCTGGCAGCCTCTGTCACCATGACACCCTGTCCCCTACCCCCTGCCTCCTCACAAGGGTGCTCACAGCTCTGTCCTCCTTGACACCCTCTCAACAGGCAGCCAGGCCCCGGCTCCTGGAGGCTGGGGAGGGTGGGGGGCAGTGGTGAAAAGGGGCTCATTTCTCCAGGATCCACTTTGCCCTCTTCCACAGTGCAGCTTCCTCCCGAGCATAGTCAGGCACATCAGGGTAGCTTGCAGCCAACCCCAGGAAGCTGGGAGGACTTGTTTGTGAGTCAGCTCATGCTCCAGACACTCTCCATTGAGGCACTCACTCACCCCATATTTATGGAGCACCTACTGTGTGCCAGACCTTGGGCAGAGCACTAAGAATGCAAAGATGACTGACATGATCTCTGCTCTTAAGGGAGGTGAAAGGAGATCATAATGAAGCACAGAGGAACAAAGACTTCTGCAGTCAAGAAGAGGAGGCCCATGTGGATGTGGCATTTGAGCCTTGAGAGATGAGTGTGGTTTCATCAGATGGAAAAAGCAGAGGTGTGAGAGGGAGGCATTCCAGGCAGGGGTGCCAGCACGGCCAAAGGCTTGCTGATGTGGAAGAGCATGGTTCCAGTACTGGAGCACTGGGTGTGCAGGGTCCTGTGGAGGAATACAGGGGCAAGAAGCAGCCTAGGTCAGACACCCCTATGTACCAAGCCCGGGAAAGAAGATTTAGACTGAATGCTGTGGAGCAATTGTGCTGGGAGTAAAGGATGAGGGATGAGAGAGAGAGACTGAAGGAAAGGAGACCAGCTTAGGTCATTACAGTGGCTGGGAGATCTGGGCAGAGGAGGAGTTAGAGCAGACATGACTCAGTTGGTTTCTTCAGCTGTTTGCCTCTCAAAAGCCTAGACACATTCAAGGTCTGTCTAGCCCACCTATCCTGGACAATGAGTTGAATATGGGGGGCTGTGTGCTGAAGGCCCCCGCCATTACTTGTAGGAGCTCCATGCCTCAGACTTGCAAACTGAGCCAAGAGCAAAATAACATTTGACCCAGCAGCCACTCCCGAGAATCTGCCTCCCAGAGGCAAGGGCAATGCTGGGCTGCTCCAATGTTTTTCACCCATACCAGGGTCAAAGCCTGGGGACCAGGCAGCCAGAAAGTTCCAGGAGGCACAAGGCGGAGTTGGGGGAGTGGGAGGTGCAGAATTGGAGAATGCTCTGGGGAGATTGGTTTGTTTGTACAACTGTTCATTTATTCCTTCAATGACTGAATGAGCAGGATGGCTGAGCAGGGAGAGCAAAAGCTCTGGAGCCAGGCTGCCTGGGTTCAAATCTGGGCTCTGTGCTTTGGGAAATTCTGTGACCTTTCTGACCTTATTACCCAAGGGGTTGGTGTGAGGCTTAACCCAGCACATAGTAAGTGCCCTATAAATATTATTCTTTGACAATACTTCTATGCCAGGAACAAAATTCCCCTCTTGCTCTTTAATTTCACTCCAGCCTGTCTCCCAGGAGAGACTGTAGGGAGCCCTGGGGACAGAGACTGTATCTTATTTGTCTCTCTGTATTCACAGTGTCTTTGCTAAATGAATGAACCAGGGACAACTATGACCCTCAAAAGACTGCCATTATAAATGAATGTGTACATGTCTCTCCTTCCCACATGCTTTTGCCCAAGCTGTTCCCTTAACCCAGAACTCCTCTGCCCAACTTCCTCATCATCAGTGGATATGAGTACACACCTTATTGCATTGTGATTATCTGCTGATGTGTCTGTCTTCCCCATGACACTGATATCTTTGAGGATGGGGCTGAAGGATTATTCCATGTTATAGGCCAGTACTCAGCTCAGGTTGTATGTTTTGTGAACTGCTCTGTGCAGTTTACAAAGGAGAAGGTGTAGCCTCTGCCCTCAGGGAGCTCCCCAGTCCTGGGTGGACAGAGGAATGTGGACAGAGCCCAGAGTGGGCACAGAGGGTGATAGAAGAGGCCCTGCATTCTGGGCTGGAGAGTTACTGCAGCAGCCCTGAGCAGATCCTGTATGTCAGCCACCTGGCTGCGGGGCTCAGGGAGAACCATGCAGCTCCCAAATATTCGCTTTAATAACAGCTGCCGGCCCCTACCTGACTTTCTCCTACAGTGCCCTGTCAACCTGGGGATTTGTAAGTTATTTCCTTAATCTTTAAGAAGAAAACGTTTTGATAAAAAGTCACTATTAGCAGATACATTCAAGTGAGATTCTTTTTCTGGCAAGAAAGAATTAATGCCTGCAATAGCATGACTTTAAACCTCCCCTGGGAGCCCACAGGAAGCAGGGCCCTGAGAAAAGCTTGGAGGTGGGAGGAAGGCCCCCTCCCGAGGAGGAAGTGCAGCTAAGCCTCACAGCAGGTCCCTGCTGCCCTGCCCCCACACCCTGCTGAGGCTTCCACACCTGAACTACCTGTTATTTCTATCTGTGCCCGCTCAGGAGGCCTGGGCCCTGCTTGCCCTGGACCGCCTCAGAACACTGCTGCCTTGCAGTGGCTGGCCTGAAGGCTGCCTGCGGAGACCCCTGATTCTCCAGGAAGTGAGAAATAAGCTTCTCTAGGGTCTGCCCTGGGTCCAGTCTGCCCATGAAGTTCCCAGAGCTCTTGGGGAGTTGGGGTGAGTGACTCAGGTATGCTTCCAGTTTCCTGGAGGAGGCAGGTGTGATGACATGGGAGGCAGTCAGGACAAGGGTCAGGGTGTGTAGGTGACAAGCCAGGCTTGGGAACCAGAGGGCCTTTGGTTGTAGTCCTGGCTTGGCCGCTCACTAGCTGTATGACCTTCGGCAGGTTACTTCACCTCTCTGAGATGTAGTTTCCTCACCAGAATGAGAAAAACCCTTTCCTCTCCTGGAGACTTGGTGTTAGGACCCAATGACGTCAATTGGAGGGGGCACTGTGGGCAAAGGTGACATTTCAGGGCAGCGACAGGCCTGTCTGCAGCAGGATAAAGGGACCATGGGGACCTGTGAGTCTCCTTCCAACCTCAGTTTCCAGCTCTTCCCTTGTACTGTTTGCTGTGGTCTTAAATGAGAGCTGGGACTGTTCTCCAGGGCCTCCGCCTGCACCTCCGGGACCGAGCCCTGAGCCAGAAGGATGATCCCAGGTCTCCAATCCCACGCCCTCCCTCCTACCTGCTACAAACTCTATTTATAATATTTTTTCCCAATGTCACTGTGACATTTGTACCATGACCCTAAATTTTACATAAGAAAATAGAGGCTTCCCTAAATAAAGGGGAAGACTTCACAATACTCATAATTAGTGAGTAAAGAAGCCCCTTGGATACAAACTTTAGTGTTCATATTCTTTCCTCCTCTCCACATGGCCTGCCCTCAGGTGCTGCCTCTTCCTCCAGCCTAGACTTCCTCCCTCCATCTCCACTGTCTAAATCCTTCCTTCTTCAAGGTTCAGCTCAGCAGTAACTTCTCTGAGCATTTCCTCACTGTTTCATATGTCTTCCTCTAAGCTACTTTTAAAATTTACATTTTTCTCTGACTCTAGAAGAATGTACATTAAATTAGAAAAAATACACAAGTATAAAAGATTAAAACCACCTAGTATCCTGTCACCTAGAAGTTTACAGTCTTTTCTCTGTGTATTTGCATATGTGTTTGTGGGTACTCTTCCCCTAAATTTCTATGATACTTCCTTGCTCCAACTTTTCTTTTGGCCCTTATAATTTTCTGACTTCTGTACTTGTCTGATTCTCTCTACCAGACTGTGAGCCCCTTGAGGGTAGGCTCTGTGCCTTGAGTCAGGATGGCATGCACACAAACACTCAGCTCAAACCTGGCTGGAGGGCAGGACATGGGGTTGGAGAGCTGGGGGAGTTGTTCTTTCGGCTCAGTGTTTGGTCTCCCAGAAGTGCAGGCAGAGGAGGAATGGAATGGCCCCAATACACATTTAAGACCCTACAATGCCACATGTACCACTTTTTATTTTTCAGATTAAAATGCATATACACAAGGCTTATTCTGGGATAGGAAGGCTGGGGTTAAGCTGGGGAAAGGAGAAGATGAACCTGGATTCACACCCCATCTTCCCCTCTTCCTAATTATGTAACATTGAGCACATTATGCAAACTCTACATCAGGTTCCTCATCTGTAAAATGTGGATACACCTCTCTAGAGGGTTGTTGTGAGAATGAAGTGGTGAATACAAACAACTGCACACAGTGCTGGCATGATGGCCCACATCCCGCGCTGGTCCCCCACCACTCCCACTTCTCAAGTGATTAATATGTCAGCGAACAACCTCCATTTATTACAGATTGTCATGTGCTAAGCACTGTGGAGGCCAAAAAAGATGCACTTCCTTCCTTATCCTGCTGGGGATAAAATACTTACACAGGAGCTGATTAGAGAGGAAGGTGGTTCATTATACGGGCTAATTGAGCCGCCCAGACAGTGATGCAAACTGAGTTAGGGCTGAGAGAGCTCCTTGTGTGCTGGGCTTCTCAGTGAGACTGCAGATAATGCTTTCCTCCAGATAAATAGCAATCTTTGCAACTCTGGAAGCAGTCAAGGCAGGAAGACTCCGAGATAAGCTTATCTGGGCTGTGGCCACAGAGCTGGAAGATAATAAGCTTCGCTTTTCCATCTGTCTCACACTACCAGCTTGTCCATAAACTACAGCCATCTGGTGGGTAGAGAACATGGGGTTAGGTTGGGTGGAGAGAATGAAATGAGACCACAAAGATCAGAGACCAGAGTGAAAGGCAACTGGTGATTACATATCCATCAGGGTCTCTATTCAGTTCTGCCCGTCAGCACGGGGTAGGAAGGAATTTCATCAGGCTTTTTTCCATGTCTGTTTTTGTCCACCCTGGTTTTCCTGACAAGAAGGCATTTCTCAGAGCTATGGCATCGGAAATCACAGTGAAGTAATGTAGCATGGTCATTAGGAGCATGAAGCTTTGGAGTCAGACTGATCTATTTTCTCTTCTACTTGCTGGCTGTTTAGCTTTGGGAAATTACTTAGCCTATCTGACACTTGCTTTCTTTGTCTATAAAGAGGAGACAATAAAATAAACCTCCTTCATATGGTTATTTTAAGCTTTAACAGAGAGAGAACACTATTACAGTGCTTATCACAATACTTACAAAAGTTCAATAAATGTTAACTGGTTTTAGTATGATTTAAGTAAGCTCTGTATGAAAATAGAGCAGGTTGTTTGTCTCCTAATGTGTGCGTCAGAAGTGCACTTCCATTGGCAGGAGGCTGCTTCTGGAAGGTTGGGAAATGGTCAGGGAGAAGAGAAAGAGCACTGGTAAAGTTGGCACTGAAATTCAGGTCCTTTCACTCATTTGCAAAAAAAATTTGCTATAATCTACAGTATGAAAGGCATTTCACATCACAGTCCAGTATATTCATACACTGGTAGATAAGAGAAAAAAATTCACATGCAAAAATACACCTTTTGACCCCATACCATGCACACTGATTTTTTTTCTTTTCTTTTTTTAGTTTTTAATTGCAGTTGCAATTCATTTATTTCAGACCCAATTTTGGGGTCCTAATCCACAGTTTGAAAACATTTTTTGAAATGATCATGACCTTGGAAAAGTCACTTTCCCTCTCTGAGCTTTAGCTTTCCCAACAATAAAACAATCATGACGCCCAGCCAGCCTCACTGCTGCTCTGAGTCAGTATCCAGCTGTTGTGGGAGGGACAGAGGTTGAGAAAAGCAGTTTCTGTCTCCCCATTTGAAGACATGGGAGATGGGTGGGAAGGCTGAGGATTGTGGAAACTGCTTCTCCCCTAAGACCCAGTGTGATGGACAGAAATGCAACAGAATGAGAAATAATTGATGTTGGTTTTTCCATTTGTGCCCTGGCAGCCTTCCTGACAGCAAGACGGGAGAGGACCCCAGGTACAGCCTTGGAACTGCTTTGGAAGTGGGTCCCAACAAAGGGAAGCGGCTGGGGCAGGGGGGCTTTGCAGGGGATACTGAGTATAGGATCAGGGGTGTGTAGCCTACATAATTTCAAAGGCATGGGGCTTTATAGTAAGACACATGTTGTCAACGAGGGCAAAACCTGGTTCTTGAGGAGAGAAAAAACTCAGACATTGCAATGGTCTGTAGCCCTCCAAAGTGCCATAGCATATAAACAGCTGTACAGTATGTCTGGTATTCAAACTTCATGGTGGATAGAGTCAGAAAGTAGGTTGGTGCTTGCTGTGGGCTGGCGGGGAGGAAGCAAGGGCATGACTGCTTCCGGGTATGGGGTTTCCTTTGAGGGTGAAGAAAATGTTCTGGAATTAGACAGTGGTGATGGTTGCACAACCTTGTGAATATAATAAAAACCACCCAAATGGAAAAGAAATATGGTAGGGAAAGGACAATTAGAAAAAATATGTCTAAAAAAGGCTTAGGAAGTAACCATGAAAAAAAAGTTCAGAAACATGGCTGTAAGGATAGGAGATGGGCTTCCCCAGGCCAGGCAGAAATCTAGTCTTATTGCTTTATGGTCAATGTGCAGGCCTGAGAGGTCCAAGTGAAACAGATTAATGAGGCTCTGAGGCCCTCAAAACCCTCCCTAACCTCACCTCTTCCAAGTACATTTGAAACACACTGGAGGTGGTGTGGAGTCAGGACTGGGAAGGTTGACTCAACTTTGTAAATACGGTTAAGCTTCTGGCTTTTGCTTTCCAACACCAGAGATTTTACTTCCCTGTATTTTATCTGCCCTTTCTCCCACCTTGTACCCAAGTGCTAGGATATGATGACAGGCCCAGCCTCCCCAGCCATAGTGAATGTAGTTCTTGAGCAAAAATTAAGATCCCATGGTATGTGACAGCTATGAACATGTGGTTGAGAATGACTGGACAGAATATTTGACACTGGAGCATTTTGGGCAGTCCAAGGTACATGGGCCCTGCAGTTCTCTGGAAGATCCTCTCCCGATTCCACAGATGTCTTCTGACGGGGCCACATGGGGCTGCAAATCCTGTCTGGAGCCCTTGTCGGCTCTCTAGCTGCGCCCCCGTGAGTTCTACTGGCTGTAGGCTCCCACCCACAAGCTGCGTGTGCAGATGTCAGCCTGCCCAGCCTGGCCTGGCTGGCGCCAGAGCACCCTCCTTGCTCCAGCTGTTTTCTTGCAGCCGAGTCAGTCTGAACATTTGAGCCCCAGTGCAGAGGCTGGGTCTGCGGGAGCCATATGTTTGGCTTCATGCTTCTCTGAGAGAGGTTTCCCCACACAAGCTCCCAATGGTACCCTTCCCCCATCCTCCCTCCTAACTCAGTCGGGGCCCCCAGGCTCTCCTGTCACCCCCCCCACCCATATTGCAGATGGTACACAGCCCTCTGTGCAGCAGTTGTGGGTCACAGGGATCATAAAGGCACGCTCCTGCTGGGTTTGAGGGAGCTCAAATGTCTATGGAGAACTCAGTCTACTCACGTGAACTCTGAAGGTACCTCTTTCCTCCCCGGCTGCAGCCCAGAGCGGGAGACAGCGGCTGACCTGGACATCAGGTACTGTGTCCCTAGAGCAACTGCCCTTCAGGGCAGGCTTCCTCAGAAGGGCTCACAGGCCCAAGGGAGCCACTGAGCTCTGGAAGGCAGACCCCCAGGTCCCAGCCCAGCTGTGGGGAAAAGGCTAGGGAGTGCTCTGTGCTCCATCAGGTGGCTTAGAAGCCACCACCGCTCCTGTGCATCAAGCTGCTCCCTTCACAGCAGATCCTTTTTGTCTAGTGGTTTTCTTTTCCCTCTTTTTGGTCTGCAGAAACCACATCACTAAGTGTGGTTTGGTTGGCTCTGCTTTTGAAAAAGTTCCGTTTGCAGAGTTAGCTGCTAACATCAAAGTCAAGTGGTTTGAGGGTTACTCAAGGAAGGAAGAAATCAGGGTTCAAGCTCTCGTAGTTTGGTTACACTTTGGACTCCTCTTGGCTCTGGGTAGAGACTCACTCAGCAAGAACAGACTGCAGGGGTGAGGTAGGCTGGATGCAGGGCAGGGAGGAGTCGAGCTCCCATCCCCCTTAATCAGCTAAACCCCAAGCCCTCAAACCTGCCTCAGGCCCAGGAGAAACAGAGGCCACCAGGGACCACACAAAGCAGATTTCTGTCAACTGCACCTCCTTGTCTTAGGGCTGCGCCAGCCTAGGCCACCAGCCTCACAGCTGCCTCTGAAAATGAGCCCCTGAGAATGCCTCCCCTACTCCTGCCCTGCTTTTTCCAGGAAGAGACACCCTGTGGCCTATGCTTCTCAGAAACCATGGCTGCTGAACACCACTGTAGAGGAGAACATCACCTTTGAGAGTCCCTACAACAAACAACGGTAAAAGCCCCTTGGAAGGAGCTGGGCTGGGTGAGGAAATTGGTCATGGGCAGCATTAGCCTGCCTGCTCAAAAGCCCCAGCCAGCTGTCCTGCCCCTCCATCGATCACCCACACTCAGCCTGTGTGCCCTCCAAGATGCTTATCTGGATTCCAGCCTGTTCCATATGGTCCATCTGGAAATGATCCAGATGTGCCCAGACATCAGGGCAGTCCAACCCCTGTGGGTGAGGGGGCAGGAGTGGGGAGGTGCAGGAGCCCTGTTGCCTTCTCTTGAGGCTGGTTGGCAGGCTGACCCAGCTCTCCACAACTCTCCCTACTCAGGTTCCCTACCCCTAGCTGCACAGCTCATGCGCTGTTTTCCCTCCAATGGTAGTAATAACCACTAACATTGATTGAGCTCTTACCAGGCACTGAGCTCAGTGTCAATCTCTTTGTGCATGTGATTTCCACTCATGCTCAACGATTCCAGTAGGCAGGTACTGTTATTATCCCCATTTTACAAATGAGGATACCAAGGCTCAGAAAGGTCAAGCAATTGGCACACACAAGGCCACGCAGCCAGTGACAGAAATGGGTCTCAAATCCAAGGCTGCCTAACACCTGAGTATATGTCACCAAGATACCCTGAAGTCTTCATGCACCCTGGCTGGCACCTATCCAGGCTAAGAGCTGGACGGGGAAGTATGAGAGGTGCAGGCTGGGCAAATATTTGAGCAGCAATCCTCATTGCCACCCAAACCAAGCAGCAGTGATTTGCCCTGGCAGTGTGAGCTCTGGCTGTGGCTTTTCCCACTGTACAGAGCCCAGGGGCCCCCTCTTGTCCCTTATGTGGCATATTTGCTGCCAACCAATTTCATCCTTCAAATATTTAACTGACTCCAAGACTGCATGAGGTGCTGCCCTCAGCTCTTTTCAGGCACACGTGGTGTTTGCTTACCCCAGGGCACAAAGCCCATTAAAGCCATTGCTCACTCTGGGCACAGCTGCCCAGAGGCCACTGATGCTCTGAAAGTGCTCAGGCCCAACACTGGCTGGGCTAATAGCTGTGTCCCTCTACCCCACCCCACCCCACCCCCCACCACCATCACTCCAGGTACAAAATGATCATCGAAGCCTGCTCCCTGCAGCCAGACATCGACATCCTGCCCCACGGAGACCAGACTCAGATTGGGGAACGGGTTAGTAGTAGCCTCCAACTGGGGCTTTTTCAAAGCTGGGGCCCTCAAGCTCCCCTGCTCCCCACCCACCCTGAGATCCTTCTCAGGGAGAGCAGGTAACTGGAAAATGAGAGGGTAAGGGCTGCCTGTAGTAGGGTCAGAATGGGCTGCTGGTCATCCTTGGCATGTTCTCAGCCCTGCTTGTTGTGAAGGTCAGCCTAGCACCCTCACAGGCTGCAGAATGCTTGACATCTCCTTTGTTTGTGCCCCAAGTGTCTATTAAGAGCCCACATGGCACTCCACTAGGCCCAGGGTCACTCCACAGCTGAGGCCCTGCCTGCATAAATTCAGACTTAAGGGGGAATAGGATTCTCCCATGACTGTCCTCCTTGCATATAATGTAAATCCCCCTTTCTCTGTCTTGGTTTTCACTGGTCAGAGGGTCCCTACATGATGAATCTTCAAAGACTTGGGGATTATGCTCCCCACTTCTGAAGGAATTCAATAATCATGTACAAGTTCCTTCCCTCTGCAAGGTGAGGAGACAGCAGAGAGATGGATAAAGCCAGCCTCTATCCCAAAGAGCTCACAGTCAAATAGGGACTAGGATAGTCTCTCCTGAAGATCTATGAGGCTGTAACCTTTCCTCCTCTTTGATGACAGGGCATCAACCTCTCTGGTGGTCAGCGTCAGCGAATCAGCGTGGCCCGAGCCCTCTACCAGCATACCAATGTCGTCTTTCTGGTGGGTGCATCAGCTGGTACCTCCCTTATGGCTCTCATCTCTGGCTGCCCCCCCAGCTCACCACCTACACACACACACACACACACACACACACACACACGCACGCGCACACACACACTCACACGCACACACACACACACCCCCAGTACCCAGCAACATCCCGTTCCAGGAGTAAACTCCTCTTCTGCCAGAGATAGTGCCTACTCATCTTATTGATGGGAAAACCGAGGCAAGGATAGTGCAAATGACTCACTGTAGAATTTACACTGAATTCTGCAGTAGACACGAGGAAAGGTGAGTAGTAGTTACAGGCCACCTCGCAGCAGGACAGCCCTAACCTACAACACACCTCAATGCTAAGACTAGTGGATATATGAAATGTATGCTGCCACTTCCCATCGCATTTCCAGAGCAGACATTGCTAACTGATCACAGCACTAATAAGAGTAATTTCAGTATCATCAATGAATGCAATTTTGTGAAACCCCACATTAACAAACTAGTTATATTTCCCATGGAAACTGAACTTGGTCTCAGAATCTTTCTCAACACAGCTCTCCAGGTAACCACTAGGAATTAAACATGAGATAAAACTTTTTAGCCGTCCATGTCCTACTTCATGCCAGGTTCTATGTTAGATGCCTCAGTTGATACTGAAGAATTCTAAGACCCAGTCGTTGGCCTCAAATATTTAGAGTCTGATTAGGGAAATAGAGCTCACTGACCCTCAAGAGCCCCAGCCCAGTTGGAAGCCAAACTGTGTGACATTGACTGAAGGGCCTTGTCCAGGGAGATAACCATGAGGGCTAAAGTAGTAAGGCAGGACTTCCTGTAGGAAGGCCTTGAAGAATGAGTCAGTTAAACAGAAGGAAAGAGGGGCGTCATTTGGACAGGGCATTGGAAGGAAGAACATCAGGTCTCTGATTACAGCTTTATTCTCTCCCCCACAACAAACACTTCCTACTGAACACACTTCAAAATGTAAAGTTCACAGTCTTTGTTCCCATCTGACATATACATAGCACTTTACAAAGTACTAGTACTCATTCATGATCCCATGTGAGCTTTAAACAACCTTGTTAGAGAGAACTAGATATCTTAAGTTATTTCAGCAAACTTTTATTATGCTCCTACTCTGTATGAGGCACAGGTGCAAGGGGTATCAGTTCTTGAGGGGCTCACAGTCAGGAGTGGACAAAAATTTATCGAGTCTGACTTTGTGCAGAGTATCACTGGAAAGAGAGGAGGGAAGGCTAGACAGAGGGGTCAGGAAAGGACACGGGAGAGCTAGTGCTTAGACGGAGCACTGAAGGATGAGTAGGAGTTCACCAGGCAGACAAAAGGCAAAATGGCACTCCAGGCACAGGGAGAGCTTAGGCGAAAGCCTGGAATGGCAAGTTCTCTGGAGTGTAGGGAACTTGGACAAGACAGTTGAGAAGTGAGGCCAGAATTGACTTAGCAGTTTATAAAGGGCCTGGATTGCCATGGTTAGAAATTCAGACATTATAGACAATGGGGAACCATTGAAAGTTCAGGAGTCAGGAAGTGTGTGTGATTAGATCTATCTGAGAGTGATAACTGATAACAGCCCATTTGAAGATGAGGCAACTGAAGCCCAGAGAGGTTAGGCCCATTGTCTTAAGGCCACACAGCTAACTCGTGTCAGTCCCTAGACCAGAGCTAACATAACTGGTGGTTTTTATGCTCAGTGTTACCTCCTTCCCACATACGTGCCCCTGTCTTCTCCCCTCTGCCCAGGATGATCCCTTCTCAGCTCTGGATGTTCATCTGAGTGACCACCTGATGCAGGCTGGGATCCTTGAGCTGCTCCGGGATGACAAGAGGACAGTGGTCCTAGTGACCCACAAGCTACAGTATCTGCCACATGCAGACTGGGTGAGGGGCCACAGGGGACCAAGCTATGGAGGGCTGAGGAGAGAGAGGCATTTGGACATCCTCAGAGGAGTCCATCAGCGTCTCAGTAGTAACTGCCAAGAACCACGGGGCCTGAGAGATGCACACAGGATGGCTCCGTGAAGGCTGGGCAACGCAGGAAGACCTAGGCCAAGGCTTCGGTCTCACCCAGAGCTGCAGACATTCCCGTCCCTGCCTGGGGTCCCTGTGGATACACACAGGCAGGCACCAGGAAGTCCCAGGAAAAAGCACACTCAGTTCCGACATTCTGTCTCCTGCCCAGTCTGATGACTCATTGCCCTGGCCTGTGGGAGCCCCTGTTTGAATGGGAGAGTTATCTTCCTGCCCTCTGACCCACTGGGGTTTGGATATATTCAGGTTAAAATGAGATGGAAAATAAGGAAACAAACAATAGCAGGAGTAATAGAAAAGCCAATATTATCAATAAAATGCAATTTTGTGAAACTCCACTTCAACAAAATTCCCACACTCTTCAATATGTAGACAATAGTTACTTTTCAATCATTGGAAACATTTAATTTTTAAGATGAAGTTATTTGGTTTTTGAAATCTGGACTTTTCTGACTCCCATATAAATTTGCCCCTGAAAATTGAGGGCTTCCCTTAGCCTCAGGCCTATGCTAACTGACCCTCAGTCTTCCTTCTGCATGTGGTGAGAACCTCCCTCCACTATGAAAAAGAAAAAGGAAATCCAGATTTTTAAAAAACCTATTAAAACAAGTGCAGAGGTTTGTGTCTGAGTCCCTGTGGTAACCCTGATGGGGCAATTGAGAGTAATCTTTAGTCCAAAGAAGGCAGACAGAGAGGTGTCCAGTTCCTTGAAATATGAGTGAACAGGACTCCGGGTCACCCTCCCCAAACCCCTGCATGGGGATGGGGGTGAGAGGGCCAGGGATGGGTCTCCAAACTAATGATGAGTCTACATAAGTGTGAAACATTTATTTAGAATAAAATCAGTTTCATTGGTTTCAAAGAAGTACGGCCTCACATACTTAGACCAACAGGTGCTTTGCCAACCACTGGTGGAGCCGACCACACCTGCTGTCAGGAGGAGCTAAGAGTAGTGTGCAATTAGTCCATCAAGTGTAGGAGTACAGCTGCCACTGATGGAGTCCTTGCAGGTAACCAGACAACTTGACCAGGATGTGCTAATTCGCTCTACAAACCTTCTTATTAACCAGGGGGCAACCCTGGAGAATTACCCCGTGGATGTACTAAATCCTGGGGGTGGTGGTGAGGGTAGGTTATCACTCCTGGCTCACTGCAGTGGGCAGGTCAGAGGCCATTTGTGGAAGTGTGCATTTTCATCTCAGACTCCTGCTCAGCCTAGGGTATGACCACCACTCCCCTATGCTGAACAGCCCCTGAGCCAGGTCTGTTTCTGCTTTTCCAGATCATTGCTATGAAGGATGGCACCATCCAGAGGGAAGGCACGCTCAAGGACTTCCAGAGGTCTGAGTGCCAGCTCTTTGAACACTGGAAGACCCTCATGAACCGGCAGGACCAAGAGCTGGAGAAGGTGGGTGTATCCTGAGGACCAGGCAGACACACCCGAGGAGGAGGCTCTATTAGAACCTGAACGCATACAGGCCTTCCTGCCCTCATTGCCCTGGGAAGCCCCCCAAAGGACAGAGGTGGGAGCAGGGCATGAACTTCCTTCTACCAGGGGAAAGCCAGTACCTGGGCCAGCTACCCAGGGCAGGATCAGGTGGATGCCTTACCCTTATCCTGAGATAGCTGCACTGAGGAAGCAGTGAGGGCCATCGGTGGCCTCAGGCTTACATTCTCCCGGCTCAATGGTTCTGACAGGAAGAGAGTACCTATGTAGCAGAACTCCCAGGGCTGCCTCTCGCTGGTCCAGCTGGGTCATGTGCCCACCCCAGACAAATCACCAAGGCTGGGGATGGGAATGTGAGGACTGGCCAGTCTGGGTCTTGTGTGCACCCTTGGAGCCAGGGAGACTGGGCAGCCCACCTGAGTCACAGAGGCTAGAACTGGGGAGAGATGGTCCCCCACAGGGATATTGGGGTGCTGGTAGCTGATAAAGGGGAAGGAGTAAATCCTGGCAAGACAAACACATGCCCACCTAGACCCCCCAAAACCAGGACAACTTGGAAACCTGACCTGGTCATCACCAAGGTGGCTGTGCCCTCTCTTCCTTTTCCCCTCTGCACACCCTGAAGACTTTGCCAGGCCTTGTGTGTCTTTCAGGAGACTGTCATGGAGAGAAAAGTCACAGAGCCAGCCCAGGGTCTGCCGCGGGCCATGTCATCAAGAGACGGTCTCCTGCAGGATGAGGAAGAGGAGGAAGGTACAGACAGTGGGACTAAGAGTGAAATCATGGCCTAAGGTCTGATCAACCACTAAGGGAGACTAAGGTTTGGGGCTTTGTGGGTCAGGAGATAGTGTGCTTTTGATTAAATCCCTCCCCCTGTGGGTGCCTCAGTTTTCCCACGTGTAAGCGAGATTACACACCACCTGGTTCACCCTCAGAGGAATGTGAAATGTAAAGACACGGGGTGGGTTCTTGTGGCCTGTAGAGGAGGCAGCCGAGAGTGAGGACGAGGACAGCCTGTCGTTGGTGCTGCACCAGCGCGCCAAGATCCCGTGGCGAGCCTGCGCCACGTATCTGTCATCCGCCGGTGTCCTGCTCCTGTCGCTGCTTATCTTCTCCCAGCTGCTCAAGCACATGGTCTTGGTGGCCATTGATTACTGGCTGGCCAAGTGGACGGACAGTGCCCTGACTCTGAGCCCTGTGGCCGGGAACTGCTCGCTCACACAGGTGTGGCCAGCAGCCCCAGGGCCGGGGCTGGGGAGTGGGGGGACTGTTGCAAGGACAGCCCTGGGACTCCGCCTCACTCTCTGCCCCGCCCAGGAGTGCTCCCTGGGCCAGACTGCCTATGCCATGGTGTTCACAGTGCTCTGCAGCCTAGGCATCGTGCTCTGCCTCGCCACAGCTGTCACAGTGGAGTGGACAGGGCTGAAGGTGGCCAAGAGGCTGCATCGCAGCCTGCTGAACCAGATCATTCTGGCTCCCATGAGGTACCTCTCTCCGTTCGCTGTGCTGGGGCTGTGGGCAAGTCACTGTTCTCTGGGCCTCAGTTCTCCCGTCTATAAAATAGGGTTATATGACCTCTGTCACAGACTTCTGGGGAGACTCAAGGAGATAGTGTATGTAATCAGTACAGAAAGCAGAGGGAAACTGGCATGTGCTCAGCCAGACTGGTGCTAGGCATTTTGCATGGTTAGCTCATCTTATTGTCACAACAGCCCTTCAAAGTGAGCAGCTGCAGGCTCCACAGAAATGTGTGTTTCCCATCCCTAGGCAGGTACCACCTGCCCCTCTCTACCCACAGGTTCGGCTCTCCCGCCCCCCTTCTCTCTCTTTCTTCTGCCAGACTGCAGGTTCTGACACTGGGGACATGGGGTAGCTGTTTTACTTTCCTGTAATGGGATGGGTAAAAACCCTGAAGGCCACTTTGTGTGACAGAGGTTTAAAGTTGTCACTGCCCAATTGGCTGGCTGACTCAGTTTTAAAACACAGCAGTCAAACCAGGTATCTAGTCCCTTGTCAACGCCAGACCTCACCATCTGACTACACTTTTTACCTCCAGTCTCATTAGCTGTCTGCAGCCCACAGACATGGCCTCAATGTTTACTTACCCTCTATTTGTCCCAGGTCTGTGGTTCTGAAATTCTCTGGTTGGGGTTGGGCAACTCTGAGTCACAGCCAAAGTGGTGACAGATTGGCCTCACAGGGTCAGCCAGCTGATAGGCTGTCCTCCCAGGGCTCTGTTCCCCCTGGAAGAGTGTCCCTCTGGAGAGGACTCTGTGACCCCAGGAGGACATCTGCCGCGTGAGTCAGGCTGAGTGAGGAGCTGAGAAGGGTGGCAGTGATCACACATGGGCTTGAGAGTCAGAGATGGTAGCGAAGGGCCAGCACCTCGTTGGGTGACTGCAGGAATCCTCAAGGACACAGGCCAGATACCCACAGACTTGCAAGGGCAGTCGCCCACGGAAGCCAGACCCAGGGATGACTCAGAGACACTAAATGAAATAACTACTCTCATTCAATAAACAGGAAGGAAATCAATAAACGAATGAGTAATTGTTCTTCTGGTTGCCTCATAGGTTTTTTGAGACCACGCCCCTTGGAAGCATCCTGAATAGATTTTCATCTGACTGTAACACCATTGACCAGGTGCACAGGACTACCACCCATTTCCCCAGCTCAGAGAAGCCAGGCCCCTAGGAGCTTTTCCTCTCTGGTGCTTGCTTCCCCAGACCAGTGATCAGAGCCCTGTGGGTGGAACCTAGTGGGCTCCTATCTGATTAAAATGCTGCCTCAGGGCTTGGGCCTTCCCCTGTGAGGTCTTCATAATAAAGCTGAAGGAAACCACATCCCTTTGGCCTCATCCAAGACCCCCTGGCTCACTCCAGGTAACAGCATATTCTGAAGCAAGGTGACCAATTTTGTGAAGAATTTCATTTTGATTCAGTCTGTGTTCTTTATTTACCACCATCTAGATGGTGAAAAAACAAAGTCCTGATTTTTACTATCAGGGAGCCCATAGTGCTAGCTGGAGCAATGAAATGTGAACCTGTAATAACGTGAAAGAGCAAAATATGGCAGCAGGTGACACACTGAAGATAATCAACTACAAAAACTCACCCTCTCTCACCATCCCCTCCCTCAGCATATCCCATCCACCCTGGAGTGTCTGAGCCGCTCTACCCTGCTCTGCGTCTCAGCCCTGGCCGTCATCTCCTATGTCACACCTGTGTTCCTCGTGGCACTCTTGCCCTTGGCCATCATATGCTACTTCATCCAGAAATATTTCCGGGTGGCATCCAGGTGATGACAGCAGTTGCCAACCTCGGGGGGTGAGGATGGGAGGTACTTTGCAATGGGCAGTTTGGCACTCCCATTAGAGACATCATCATAAACACAGTGGAGTCACATTCCCCACAAAGAGAAGAATAGAAGTGAAGGAAATAGAAACATTCATATCTCACTACCCTCATATAACCATCTGTCAGCGCACACACAGACACACTGCAGTTAGTACCTGAACTGTTTCTGTGGGAGACAGGGTCAGGAAAGGAATTGCTAGGTCAGAATGTATGTGCACACTTATGCCCATCATTCATTTTGCCAAAATGCTGCTCAGGAGGGTTGTGTGGGTCCAGTGACTGGGCTGATTGTTGCTGTGTGGAATCAGAGGGCACCTGATATGAGGGGTGTTATGGCAACCATTCCCCCCAGCCCATGTGGTCCAGAGCATGGCTGGAAACCTCTGCTTGAGGGAGCCATGCACAGCCATTCTCACTGATCACATTTGCCCTCATGTACTTTGGGGCCATGCATGCCTCTTTCCTATCAAAATTTTCTAAGAACATTCACAGGGAAGTCCTATCTGGGAGTGAATCTGTTAAGCTTGTAGATTTAGAGAACTGTAGCGAAATTTTTGAAGAACTGCAAGGCCAGTGTTTCTCAAACTGGCCTTCACAAAAATCACAATTACAACCTATCGGTGGGTCATGAAATCAATATCATGGACCACAACCAGTGCTTTTAAACAGTGAGATAGAACAGAAAATATCCGACTGTATTCACATAGAAACAGTAAGTTTTGCTTCATGAAACCTTTGTTTGGGTCAGGAGGGTGTGTGTGTGTGTGTGTGTGTGTGTGTGTACTGATTTGTGATATAAAATGAATTTCTTACTGTGGGTTGTGGTCAGAAAGGTTGAGTATCTTTTCCAAGTGCACACATTTGGTTAGAAACTGGAGTAAGAATGCCCATTAGCAATAATAACAATTAAATTTAGATACATTTTGGCCACATTTATCTTGCCCACAAGGATCAAGGTTTGTATAAATGCCTTTTTGCTTGGATGATCCAGAATCACCTGGTACCCGTGAGGAGCATAGCATGTTAATATTCACAAAATCACAGTGACTTTTTAAACACAGTACAGGCTGTTCTACAAAGTTCATTTCTTCTGCCAGAGAAACCACCCTGTTCCCCCAGCACCCACTGTACCTTGGAGATGGTCTCCCCTACTCTAATGCACTTGTCAAAGTGTAGCTGTGGGGGGCCAGGGCATCTGCTGCCATAGAAACCTCTGGCATTTCCCCCTCAAGGAGCCCTTTAGAACCTGGCCTGTGATGTGCTGAAACCTGCTGTGGCTATTGGGGAGGGGCTGCAAGCTTCCAGTGTGGTCTTTCTGTTCCTTTGACTGGCTCTCAAGGTTCAGGGTGTCCACCTGTGACAGGGAACTAATGCTGCCTACCCAGTCTTGCTGCAGAGCAAGGCTGTGTGGCAGAAGAGCAGGGAGATATGGGTGTGTGGCAGACGATGCCCAGGATAGCAGTAATGGGGCCAGCACACTCTGTGTAGGCATTTTACATAAACAAGCTCCTCATCCAGTCCAGAGCAGCTTGGTGGTGGTACCATTGATTTCCCTCTTGATTGGTGAGAAACCAAGACCCAGGGAGGTGAAGCTGATTACCTGCACAGTAGCAGGGGGCAGAGCTGGGACTCGGCCAGGCTGAGCCCTGAGCCTGCCGCCTTGACCATTCTGCTCTGCTTCCCCCGCCCAGGGACCTGCAGCAGCTTGATGACACCACCCAGCTCCCACTGCTCTCACACTTTGCTGAAACCGTGGAAGGCCTCACCACCATCCGGGCCTTCAGGTACCAGACTCACCCCGGGGTGGGGATGTGTAGGGGTGGGGCCGGACTCAGGTTATAAGATTCAGTTCTCAGGGCTCCACTTCAGAAAACCCAGGATACGCATCTCCCAGAATGATGTCCACATTTACCAGAGGGGTCGGGCCAGATGGGTTCCCCTGCATGATCCAGAGAAGAAAACCTCAGCCCTGCAGCCAAGCCCTAAGGCAGAATGTGAAAAGAAACAAGGCTGGGACAAGTCCTCACATATCCATTCTAGAAAGGCCCTTCCATCATGTGGGCCAGCTGTGAGGCTATCTGTTATGGAGGATCCCCTATGAGCCAGACACTATGCTGAGGCCTTAGCATGCTAATTTCATTCATTCTGCCCTGCAGTCCAAGGTGGAAAGCATGATTGTTCCCTTTTCTCAGATGGGGTCAGTGAGGCTCAGAGAGGTTATGTTATATAACTACTCTGTGTAAGGTTCCACAAAGCCCAGACTTGAACCTGCTCTTCCATTAAACAAATATTTACCGAGTGTTCACCATGTGCTAAGCCCCATGCCAGACACTAAAAAAGACAGAGATGAGTCAGACAAGTCCCCCTGCTGGAAGCATTTAGTCCAGTCTTTGAGCAGGTCAAGACAACCCCACGTGACAGGCTCTCTGGAAGAAAGGGGGCATAGGCTGGAGGAACATTGAAGGGAGGCAGTCACAGAAGGCCTCACCGCCGAGATGTTATCGGGACCAGGGCTCAAAGTGCGGGTAAGAGTTCACCAGGCTAGAGAGGGTCTCTGAAAATGTCAGTGCCCCTGCCACCCAATTGCCCCCCTGAGTTGTAATGTTGGGCTGGACAGGAGCATCCGAGGATACCTGGGGAGTGGATGGACTGTTGCTCCCCACCCCAGGTCTCCATCTACATTAGGGCATCTCTCCACTGGCCACACAGGCTAGACCTCTGACCCACACAGTTGGGTTTTGGTCTCTAAGCCTCACCCACAGAGACAATCCAGGCTATTTTTATGATGGCACAGCTGCTAGGGGTGTGACAGTAACCATGCAACATGAAGCCCCGTGTCCAGGAGTAACCCTAGGGCTCAAGGACCAGCTGAGAGGGTCCAGGGAAGCCTGCATCTCCTCCCTTGAACCCCCAAAGTCCAGCTGCAGCTCTGGGAGAGGTGCCCAGGCCCCTGGTGCAGCCCTGCTGCCCCGTTCACTCCCTGGGCAGCTGGGGCTGGTGGGGCTGGTGGGAGGGCTGTTTAGGGTCCTGTCTGAGTAAAGCTAAGCAAACCAGAGCTGTGCCCTGGCTTGGCTCTACTCCTTGAACACCCTCTGCCCTTGGACAAGCCTGTGCTGCCTTCCACACAGAGGCCCCTTGGAGCCTGACGTGACTCGAGAGCCCCTCCCAGCCCCTTCTCACCTGGAGCCTGAGCTCTCCCGGCATCTCCCACTCCCACACTCCTCCACGCTCGGGGGCCCGGCCTCCACTCGTAGTTTTGCTGATGCTCCTCTTATAATTGGCGTTCTGGAAGCTTTCAGACTGGGCCTGGGGCAGAGAGACTGTGACTTTTTCTAGGGTGGGCCAGACCCTCTCAGTGGGCTCTGAGTAGATCCCGGCATCCAGAGCCTCAGCACAAGCCTGCGGTCAGCCAGAGGAAGAGCTGCCCTATGAGTCCCCCACACTCTGCGCTGACGCAGCACATGATTTTTAAATTGAGAAGACTTTTAATCATCTTTGGATGTGTTTAATTCATTGACTTTTGCCCAGCAGCCTGCCCTGTTAAGGGCTAACTGGCATGTATTGATCCTACAGTTAACAACACGTTCCAGGCATTGGGCTAAATGCCGCATGTGTGTTGTTGCATTTAATCCTCGCAAGAGCCCCATGACAGGTATGAGTGGCCACTTCTATAGGCTGAGTAACAACCCAAGATCACACAGACAGTGAGAACTGGTGCTGGGCTTGGAACCCAGGCCTGTCTAACCTTCTGGTTTTCCTGGGAGGCCATGTTTTTCCCCAAAAAGTTTCAAGAGTACCCAGCACCGGGCTCAGTGTTGGGCTCAGAGATTGTTTCAGTCCATGTAGGGACTATTACTATCCCTCTTTTACAGTGATATGAGGAAGGTGTGTCTCAGTGCTGACACACAGCCAGTGGGTAACAAAGCTCAGACTCCGCCTGGATCTGCATGGCCCCCAAGGCGGGGACTCTTCCCACAGCCTCACACGGCCACACTTCGCTCAGAGGCTCCCCTCTCACACACGCCCTCCTGAACACCCTCCCTCAGACTCTCCTGTCACGCACACATGCACATGCATCTTCCGTGGACCTTAACCGAACTCCTGAGTTGTATGGTTTCATCTCAGGCACACCCCCGTCCACACAGCTCCACCCCTGATGCGCAGTCGCACTCTCTCTCTCACCTCAGAGACTCCCTTTGCTCTCCAGACTCATGCTTCAGACACAGGCCCTCCACCCAGAAACCACCAAAGCAGAGCAAACACCCAACAAGATTCGTCGAGTCCCCTCAGTTTTTTCCGGAATCCGGGGCTGAGATGGGTTCCATCCGTTCCTTCCTGCATCACCAAACAAGTGCTCCTGGCCCCTCGTCGGTGCCTGGCTCAAGCCAGCCAGGTCTGAGGGGATAGCCAGGGAGAGCAACGCCAGGAGCCCTGGCTCGTCAGAGAGAAAAGGCAGATTCATATGAAGTAACAGGGGAGGATGTGGTAAGGGCATGAGGGTGGGAAATAGCCTCCAGAATTCTTAGTACAGAGAGAGCTTATCTACCTTAGAGGCTAAGAGAAGGTTCCATTCAGTCATTCAACAAATATTTATTGACAGTGCCAGATGCCAGGGATACATTAGTGAACAAAATAGACATGGTCTCCATCCTCATGGAGTTTATAATTAGTGAGGGAGCTCGATCATAAACAGTAGAGAAATAAATATGTAAGCAGAGACTAAGAAAGCAACAGGCTACAGAGGTGGAGAACAACAGGCCAGGAAAGACCACTCTGAGGAGGTGCCATTTAAATTAAAGACTGAAGGTTGAAAGGAATCAACCTTGTAAAGAGTAGAGAAGAAAGCATTCCAGGCAGAGGGAATAGTATGTACAAAGGCCCTGGGGTGGTGAAGAACTTGGCATTGTCACAAAACTGAAAAAGGCAAGCTAAAGTAATTAATGACTTTATTATAATTTCTGTGGCTGTTAGTGAGCAAGGGAATTTGTGGCATGGAAGGAGGCTGCTGGGTTGGCAGGGCAGGCTCACACAGGCTTCTGGCAAGAAGGTGGTTCTTTATCCTAAAAGCCATTTATATTCTAAACAGGGGAGAGATAGGATACAATTTATGAATAAGAACGATTATGCTGTCTGCTGTGTGGAGAGTGATGGTAAGGAGATAGCAAGCAGATGTGTTAGGGAGCTGATGCAATAGTCCAGGTGAGTCTGTGATGGGCAGGAAGCGGGAGAAAGGCAGGCAGAGGCTATTTTGGAGGTAGAAATCAGACAACTTGCTGAGGGACTGGATGTGAACCCAGAGGATTCCTGTGTTTTTGGCTGGAGTGCCTGGGGTGGGGCAGGGTGGGGTGGCCTTGATTGTAATAGGGAAGTCCTGGAGAGAAGAACATGTCTTAGGGTGAAAACAAGAGTTTGAAGAAGGACCCCTGGCAAGTTTGAGTAAGTGGAAAGTTACTAGAAAGGCATTCCAGAGAGGAGCGGCATACATAAGGTGGCAGAGGCGACATGTCTGGGGGTCACTGAGGCCCAGGCAGTCCCTCCTACAGGCAAAGAGAGTACTGGGGCTGCACGGACCAAAACAATTCCCTCAGAGCCTCTCGACCCCTCCAGATACGAGGCCCGGTTCCAGCAGAAGCTCCTTGAGTACACAGACTCCAACAACATTGCCTCTCTCTTCCTCACGGCTGCCAACAGATGGCTAGAAGTCCGCATGGCAAGTGCCACCCACCCCACCCTGGGGGTTCTGATAGGAGTGTGGAGTCTGAACAAGGGCCGAGCACAGACCAGAGGGTGGGAAGAGAGGCTGGAATACCAGCTCATGTGTAAACAGGGTGGGCACCAGGCCTCCTGCTTCTCCCAGCCCCGGGTGGTCCCCCCTGTGTCTGAGCTGACCCCCTCCCTGCCACATCACTGCCTGGGGTCTTGTGTATCTGAGCTCTGTGCCAGCAACGGCAAGAGTTATGTGTTTAACTATGACAAGTGTGTGCCTGCAGTGGTCAGATGATGTGCAGGCTAGCTGGTGAGGCAGCCATGTTTGGGCACATACAGGTGGCTTGGGAGTGGTGTAGTGTGAGCTATGTGCACACACTGTCCCCTTGCCTTCAGCCTTCACAGGCCTCCTGTGTGTCTGATGATGTGCCACATGTGTGACAGGGTTGGGGCTGCATCTCAGCTGAGCTGCTCTGCTCTGAAGGGAGTCAGGTGGGTGGGGGGCTCTGGGGCTTCCACACCTGGGGGCCCAGGCCAGATCCCCTCCCTCGGCAGGAGTACATTGGCGCATGTGTGGTCCTCATCGCGGCCGTGACCTCCATCTCCAGCTCCCTGCACAGGGAACTCTCTGCCGGCCTGGTGGGCCTGGGCCTCACCTACGCCCTAATGGTGAGTGGCAGCAGACCAGGCCACGGGCAGCGTCAAACACCAGCACTCAGGGAATCCCCGGGCACCTTCCCCAGCCGAGATATACCAGGCCTTATTCGAAGCTACTTCGAGTCTGATGCCAGAGGGACTGTGTGTGCAGGAGGGGTAACTGCAGGTCCCTGCCTGTCTCGCCAGGGCCACACAGGGCTGGGGGGGGTGCCCTGGCCCCTCCTCAGCGGTAAGGAGCCATCTGGTAGCCTGGGAAAGGACCAAGGTAGCACTGACAGTGACGGGCTTACTCCCCACAGGTCTCCAACTACCTCAACTGGATGGTGAGGAACCTCGCGGACATGGAGATCCAGCTGGGGGCTGTGAGACGCGTGCACGGGCTCCTGAGAACCGAGGCGGAGAGCTACGAGGGGCTGCTGGGTGAGGGCCGGAGGACCTGCCAGGGAGGGCCTGGGGACAAGCATGTCTGCGTTCAGGGGGCCAGGAGGGGCACCTGGTGGCTGACCCCGCCTGGCCCCCAGCCCCGTCGCTGATCCCAGAGAACTGGCCGGACCGAGGGGAGATCCGGATCCAGAACCTGAGCGTGCGCTACGACCGCGCCCTGCGGCCGGTGCTGAGGCATGTGGACGCCCTTCTAGGGTGGGCCAGACCCTCTCAGTGGGCTCTGAGTAGATCCCGGCATCCAGAGCCTCAGCACAAGCCTGCGGTCAGCCAGAGGAAGAGCTGCCCTATGAGTCCCCCACACTCTGCGCTGACGCAGCACATGATTTTTAAATTGAGAAGACTTTTAATCATCTTTGGATGTGTTTAATTCATTGACTTTTGCCCAGCAGCCTGCCCTGTTAAGGGCTAACTGGCATGTATTGATCCTACAGTTAACAACACGTTCCAGGCATTGGGCTAAATGCCGCATGTGTGTTGTTGCATTTAATCCTCGCAAGAGCCCCATGACAGGTATGAGTGGCCACTTCTATAGGCTGAGTAACAACCCAAGATCACACAGACAGTGAGAACTGGTGCTGGGCTTGGAACCCAGGCCTGTCTAACCTTCTGGTTTTCCTGGGAGGCCATGTTTTTCCCCAAAAAGTTTCAAGAGTACCCAGCACCGGGCTCAGTGTTGGGCTCAGAGATTGTTTCAGTCCATGTAGGGACTATTACTATCCCTCTTTTACAGTGATATGAGGAAGGTGTGTCTCAGTGCTGACACACAGCCAGTGGGTAACAAAGCTCAGACTCCGCCTGGATCTGCATGGCCCCCAAGGCGGGGACTCTTCCCACAGCCTCACACGGCCACACTTCGCTCAGAGGCTCCCCTCTCACACACGCCCTCCTGAACACCCTCCCTCAGACTCTCCTGTCACGCACACATGCACATGCATCTTCCGTGGACCTTAACCGAACTCCTGAGTTGTATGGTTTCATCTCAGGCACACCCCCGTCCACACAGCTCCACCCCTGATGCGCAGTCGCACTCTCTCTCTCACCTCAGAGACTCCCTTTGCTCTCCAGACTCATGCTTCAGACACAGGCCCTCCACCCAGAAACCACCAAAGCAGAGCAAACACCCAACAAGATTCGTCGAGTCCCCTCAGTTTTTTCCGGAATCCGGGGCTGAGATGGGTTCCATCCGTTCCTTCCTGCATCACCAAACAAGTGCTCCTGGCCCCTCGTCGGTGCCTGGCTCAAGCCAGCCAGGTCTGAGGGGATAGCCAGGGAGAGCAACGCCAGGAGCCCTGGCTCGTCAGAGAGAAAAGGCAGATTCATATGAAGTAACAGGGGAGGATGTGGTAAGGGCATGAGGGTGGGAAATAGCCTCCAGAATTCTTAGTACAGAGAGAGCTTATCTACCTTAGAGGCTAAGAGAAGGTTCCATTCAGTCATTCAACAAATATTTATTGACAGTGCCAGATGCCAGGGATACATTAGTGAACAAAATAGACATGGTCTCCATCCTCATGGAGTTTATAATTAGTGAGGGAGCTCGATCATAAACAGTAGAGAAATAAATATGTAAGCAGAGACTAAGAAAGCAACAGGCTACAGAGGTGGAGAACAACAGGCCAGGAAAGACCACTCTGAGGAGGTGCCATTTAAATTAAAGACTGAAGGTTGAAAGGAATCAACCTTGTAAAGAGTAGAGAAGAAAGCATTCCAGGCAGAGGGAATAGTATGTACAAAGGCCCTGGGGTGGTGAAGAACTTGGCATTGTCACAAAACTGAAAAAGGCAAGCTAAAGTAATTAATGACTTTATTATAATTTCTGTGGCTGTTAGTGAGCAAGGGAATTTGTGGCATGGAAGGAGGCTGCTGGGTTGGCAGGGCAGGCTCACACAGGCTTCTGGCAAGAAGGTGGTTCTTTATCCTAAAAGCCATTTATATTCTAAACAGGGGAGAGATAGGATACAATTTATGAATAAGAACGATTATGCTGTCTGCTGTGTGGAGAGTGATGGTAAGGAGATAGCAAGCAGATGTGTTAGGGAGCTGATGCAATAGTCCAGGTGAGTCTGTGATGGGCAGGAAGCGGGAGAAAGGCAGGCAGAGGCTATTTTGGAGGTAGAAATCAGACAACTTGCTGAGGGACTGGATGTGAACCCAGAGGATTCCTGTGTTTTTGGCTGGAGTGCCTGGGGTGGGGCAGGGTGGGGTGGCCTTGATTGTAATAGGGAAGTCCTGGAGAGAAGAACATGTCTTAGGGTGAAAACAAGAGTTTGAAGAAGGACCCCTGGCAAGTTTGAGTAAGTGGAAAGTTACTAGAAAGGCATTCCAGAGAGGAGCGGCATACATAAGGTGGCAGAGGCGACATGTCTGGGGGTCACTGAGGCCCAGGCAGTCCCTCCTACAGGCAAAGAGAGTACTGGGGCTGCACGGACCAAAACAATTCCCTCAGAGCCTCTCGACCCCTCCAGATACGAGGCCCGGTTCCAGCAGAAGCTCCTTGAGTACACAGACTCCAACAACATTGCCTCTCTCTTCCTCACGGCTGCCAACAGATGGCTAGAAGTCCGCATGGCAAGTGCCACCCACCCCACCCTGGGGGTTCTGATAGGAGTGTGGAGTCTGAACAAGGGCCGAGCACAGACCAGAGGGTGGGAAGAGAGGCTGGAATACCAGCTCATGTGTAAACAGGGTGGGCACCAGGCCTCCTGCTTCTCCCAGCCCCGGGTGGTCCCCCCTGTGTCTGAGCTGACCCCCTCCCTGCCACATCACTGCCTGGGGTCTTGTGTATCTGAGCTCTGTGCCAGCAACGGCAAGAGTTATGTGTTTAACTATGACAAGTGTGTGCCTGCAGTGGTCAGATGATGTGCAGGCTAGCTGGTGAGGCAGCCATGTTTGGGCACATACAGGTGGCTTGGGAGTGGTGTAGTGTGAGCTATGTGCACACACTGTCCCCTTGCCTTCAGCCTTCACAGGCCTCCTGTGTGTCTGATGATGTGCCACATGTGTGACAGGGTTGGGGCTGCATCTCAGCTGAGCTGCTCTGCTCTGAAGGGAGTCAGGTGGGTGGGGGGCTCTGGGGCTTCCACACCTGGGGGCCCAGGCCAGATCCCCTCCCTCGGCAGGAGTACATTGGCGCATGTGTGGTCCTCATCGCGGCCGTGACCTCCATCTCCAGCTCCCTGCACAGGGAACTCTCTGCCGGCCTGGTGGGCCTGGGCCTCACCTACGCCCTAATGGTGAGTGGCAGCAGACCAGGCCACGGGCAGCGTCAAACACCAGCACTCAGGGAATCCCCGGGCACCTTCCCCAGCCGAGATATACCAGGCCTTATTCGAAGCTACTTCGAGTCTGATGCCAGAGGGACTGTGTGTGCAGGAGGGGTAACTGCAGGTCCCTGCCTGTCTCGCCAGGGCCACACAGGGCTGGGGGGGGTGCCCTGGCCCCTCCTCAGCGGTAAGGAGCCATCTGGTAGCCTGGGAAAGGACCAAGGTAGCACTGACAGTGACGGGCTTACTCCCCACAGGTCTCCAACTACCTCAACTGGATGGTGAGGAACCTCGCGGACATGGAGATCCAGCTGGGGGCTGTGAGACGCGTGCACGGGCTCCTGAGAACCGAGGCGGAGAGCTACGAGGGGCTGCTGGGTGAGGGCCGGAGGACCTGCCAGGGAGGGCCTGGGGACAAGCATGTCTGCGTTCAGGGGGCCAGGAGGGGCACCTGGTGGCTGACCCCGCCTGGCTCCCAGCCCCGTCGCTGATCCCAGAGAACTGGCCGGACCGAGGGGAGATCCGGATCCAGAACCTGAGCGTGCGCTACGACCGCGCCCTGCGGCCGGTGCTGAGGCATGTGGACGCCCTCATCTGCCCGGGGCAGAAGGTCAGCGGGCAAGGGGCTTCCCACGGGCGCCTCATGGCCCTCCAGGTCCCCGACCCGTTCAGACCCGTTCTCTGGGCCCGGCCCACACTCTGACAGCACTCAGCCACCTCTCCCCCTCACCCTCCCACCCCCCTTCCCCTCTGTGTCCCCGCTCACCACCAAGGACACGGACACCCCAGACTCCCCTGGCCTAAAGGGGCTTTGTCAGGGCATGGCCTCCTGAGCCTCAGGGCAGAGAGCCAGGCCACCCCTGTCCTGGGGAGGGAGCCCCTGTTGGCGCTCTGACCCGACTTTGATGGGCTCCCTCCTCACCCTGCTGCTCTCTCTGACACCGCCCCTCTCCTCTGTCTCTCACTTGGTTATTGTCTCTGGCTGGCCATCTCACTGTCTCTGATTTTTAGATGCCCCTCTGTCCCTGCCTCTGGCTCCTCATCCTTCTGTGCTACTGTCTTCCTCTTTGTGTTGGTCCCTTATTGTCCTTTCTGTTGGTGCCCATGGGACAGGACTCTGTGGGGTCAGAGATGATCCCAGGGTCAGGCAGTACACCTCTTCCAATCCCCATGCCACCTGCCATGCCCTCCTGCCCTACCCATGCACATAGAGACACATCAGCACCCCCAGTTCCCCTGCAGCCACATACCAGGTACAGCCAGGCCCAGGCAAATGAATGTCTATACCCTGTACTTGCTTGTGGGTCCCTGTGGGAGCCCCTTCTGGACCCACTGCAGGAAACAAGCCCAAACCCAGGCCCAGCTCTGGCCAATAAGAAGCTGATCAGAGGGCCAGGCCAAGAAGAGATGCCGTAATGTCCCACACCTGCCCCCCAAGCTAGCACTAGAGGTTCCCGGCCACTCCCAGGCACCTCCAGCATTCTTGCTTCTCTCCTCAGATTGGGATCTGTGGGCGCACAGGCAGTGGGAAGTCCTCCTTCTCTCTTGCCTTCTTCCGTATGGTGGACATGTTCGAAGGTAAATTGTATGTTTGGCACCCCACACATACCCACATCCACCAGATGGTGTGTAGCCAGACATCACAGAAGGCCCTGCTTTGGGACTCATGTCCCTGGCTGAACTTGTGCCCAGCACCACTATCTCCCCCACTCCTTGGTGCCCCACCTGTGACATCCCTATGCAGGGCACATCATCATTGACGGCATCGACATCGCCAAGCTGCCGCTGCATACTCTGCGCTCACGCCTCTCCATCATCCTGCAGGACCCTGTCCTCTTCAGTGGCACCATCCGGTGAGTCCCACGTCCCCTCCAGGCCTACTCCATCCCAGGCTAGGCACGACCTCCTTAGGTCTCGAGCATAAATAGGAGGGGGTGGGCAAGGCCAGGAGTCCTCCGCTGGGTACCCACCTCCCTGGGCAAGCAGCCCTGCTCATGCCCTGGGCACTATGGGCTGGTGCTGGTTCTTCACAGTTTTACCCTCATGCCTATCTCCTTTCCACTTGACCTAGGCAGGCGCTGGTAGGGGGTGTCCCAAGCCTCAAGTCTGGGATCTTTCCTCCACCCACTGCTACCACCTTGCTGCCCCCTCCCAGCCAGGCCCCCAAGTCAATCAGTTCTCACTCATTGCTCCCTTCACCAGCCTTGAACCCTGTAAGTCCCTTGCAGGTGGACCAAGACCCTGCTCCTCTCCCTAAGGGGGCTTTCTGTGCACCCTCCAGATTTAACCTGGATCCAGAGAAGAAGTGCCCCGACAGCACACTGTGGGAGGCCCTGGAGATAGCCCAGCTGAAGCTGGTGGTGAAGGCACTGCCAGGAGGCCTCGGTAACTACTCCTGGCTGAGCAGCTGGTCGGGCCCTGAAGGTTGCCTGTAAAGGCTAGGGAGGAAAATTCACACCCATGTCATAGTTTTGCCCAGAGTTTAGAGTCGAGAATCTGGCAACACCCCAGACCACTTAGTCCCACATCTCATCTTACAGGAGCTCAGAGAGGTCAAGCGACTTGTTCCAGGTCATACACGTGGTCAGTTCAGGGTCTGGCTCCTCCTGCAGGGTATAGGGGGGACAGTAGGGGTCCCTATGAAACAGCCTGCAAGGCCCCACTACCATGGTAGTATATTCAGCCTGCCCTTCCTGCCCACCTGCCTGCCCAGTTCTGCCTGGAGGGAAGAGGACAGACTGGGAAATCACTGGCACAGACCTCTCACCAAGGGTACTAGGAAAACTCTGAACCCTACCCCAGCAGTCAGCAGATCCTTGGTATTTGCTGCAGCTCCTGGACCAAATGGGGACCAGTGGGGGCTGGCCAAGCCTTGGCTTCAGAGGCGCCCCAGCAAGGCGCACCCCCCCCCCAGAACTGCCCAGGGCCACAGCAGTGCACAACTCCAGGGGGTGCTTTTCTCTGTAATTCATGCACGTGGCACTGGTCTTGTAGTGTAAGTGGCAGCAGTCCTGCACACGCCTGTACTCACAACACACACTGACGTATTTGCCCCTGTGCACACATTTCCTGACATGCCTCAAGCCATGCCATCTACTAAACTCACAATGCAGAATTAACTCAGCCCTGCTGTCCCTGCGGTTTCAGATGCCATCATCACAGAAGGTGGGGAGAATTTCAGCCAGGGCCAGAGGCAGCTGTTCTGCCTGGCTCGGGCCTTCGTGAGGAAGACCAGCATCTTCATAATGGATGAAGCCACAGCTTCCATCGACATGGCCACGGTCAGTCCTGGACACATCCATGGGGTCGGGGACTTGGAGAGGGTTTTCATGGGGTGTCGGGGAAATTTGCACAAAGTAGCACTGAAGCTCAAGTTGCCTTGAGCATCAAGGGCCATTTGTGGCAGAAAAGGGGACCCTGACTCAAGCTAGTGTTAGGGAACATTTATGACACATACACAAGCTGCGTACAGATCCACAGAGACTTCACAGCCACCACCCACACACGGCACACCCAGGCATGCTCCGCACACATACAGGCACAGCTGAGCTCCCAACGGGCTGTCCTGCCTGTGAATGCCAGCAACCCGGTTGGTCCTATGGGAACTTCTGCCAGACAGAGGGAGGGGGTGGGGCTAGGGTTGGGTCAGATGGGTGCGGGGCCACAGACCTGGGCCCTATATCCCTGAGCAAGGCCAGACCCCATCCACTGGGCAGCTGAGCCAACAACTGTTTTTCCCACCTGGCAGGAAAACATCCTCCAAAAGGTGGTGATGACAGCCTTCGCAGACCGCACTGTGGTCACCATTGCGGTAAGGGGCCCATCACTGGGGGGCAGGTGATACCCAGAGAAAAGGCTGGCCTTCCTAGGTTGGTGGGCAGCCCCTGGGCTGACCTGGGCCTAGTAGCCAAGAGCGGGCCCCAGAGCGGTACAGAGCAAGGAGTCTGCAGGGCTTGCCGAGAGCCTGGAGTTCCGGATTCCAGGGCTGTATTCGCACCTGCATTTCTCCCAGACCTCCCCTCTTTTTCTCCAGGTTCAAAGGCCTGCCTGTGCAAGCTAGGCTAGGGTTCCTTCTCTGGGAGAAGTGAGGGCTAGGAGGCTTGGGGAGATTTCTGAGCCACGAAGCTTAGAGGTGAGGCCAGAGCTGACTTGGTCAGAGGAGATGGTGTTATTAGTGGTGTAAGGGCTTGGAGTCACAGCCACCCCAGGAAAGGGCAGTCACCACAGAGATAGGACATTCTGGTCATAGGCTCCCTCCTCCGAGCTGCAGGATCTCCTCAGGTGCCCCACCCCTTCCGCCTGACCCTGACCAGCCCCCTCCTGCCCTGCTCAGCACCGCGTGCACACCATCCTGAGTGCAGACCTGGTGATTGTCCTGAAACGCGGCGCCATCCTTGAGTTTGACAAGCCCGAGAAGCTGCTCAGCCAGAAGGACAGCGTCTTCGCCTCCTTTGTCCGCGCAGACAAGTGACCTGCCAGAGCCCAAGTGCCATCCTAAATGCCCCCTGCCCCCACCGCCTGCCTGGGTTTTCTAACTGTAAATCACCTGTAAATAAAGAGATCAGCTGTTTCCTATTGGAGGCCTTCAGTCTGGCAGGCAGGGCAGGGGGTGTCTGTGGGTTCAGTGGAGCCAGCCTGACTTTGGCCCCAGGCAGACCTGAACTTGAACTTGCATTAATGGGGAAACGTGTGTTTCCTTATCTATGAAATAGGGGATGTATTAGTTTTCTAAGGGAGCCGTAACAAAATCCCACAGACTGGGTGGCTGAAACAAGAGAAGTTATTTCTGACAGTTCTGGAGGCTGGAAGTCCAGGATCAAGGTGTCACAGGTTTGGGGGTTTTCTCCTGAGGTCTCTCTGCTTGGTTGCGGACAGCCACCTTCTAGCTGTGACCTCATATGGCCTTTCCTCTGTGCTCACATCCCTAGTGTCACTCTCTTATTAGGATACCAGTCATATTGGATGAGGCCCCACTCCTATGACCTCATAAATTACCTCTTCACACACCTTACCTCCAAATACTGTCATGCTGGGGGGCTTCGTCATATGAATTTAGGGCTTCCACAAATGGATTGGGGGAGGATACAATTCAATCCATAACAAGTTGTAGCATTTTTGTGATTATTGTGTCTTAGATTAAAATTGTAAGGTATCCTTGATTAACACTATTTCTATTACAAATGACAGGAACACAATTCTAAGTGGCTTACACAAAAACTGAAATTTATTGTCCTGTGTGACTAAGAAGGCCAGGGTTGTACCTCAAGCATGGCTGGATTCAGGTGTTTGATGTGCAGAATGTGTCTCTACTTCCATCTTCCTCTCCTTCCCCAATGGCAGATGACCACTAGCACCTCCAACTTACATCCTACTCCTCTGAAAAAGGCCATTCCCAATAGTTCCAGCAAAAATCTTGGGAGCAAACTTCAATGGACCAGCATAGGTTACACCCCACGGCCACTCATTCACCATGGTCACAGGTCTGGAATACACTGACTGATTAGGCCTGGATCACACGCCCCTATCTCTGTCCCCCATGTAAGGGCATTCAGAAGGGTGGTCCTTCAGAGGGAAAGCACAGTGCATATACCACAAGTCAGCCAGGTGTTTACTGGGAGATGCCACTGAGGAGACCAAACAACAGCTATCAGACTCCATTTGCAGCAAGAACAGGAGCGCACACCTCTCAGCCAAGAAATGGAAGGTGCTCATTTACATATCCTTTATCATTTACATATTGGCTTCAGTCTTAGGCCCTGGCGTGCAAACCCAGGAGTCTTGGGCCTATGTCCCTCTTGGTTGCAAGGGGGTCAGAGTAATGTACCGAAAACCTACCAGTCACTGGAGAGGGGTCCAACACAGACCCTTTTGGATATTCCAGGAACCAGAGGAGCTCAGGAAGTGAGAGCTCTGTGAAGCATGGCAGGCCGCCTGGAAGAAGCAAGATGCAAGTTGGGCATGAGAGGGTAACAGTTGGATAGGTAGAGAGAGAAAAGGGCACATTGGTGGGGGGCGGGGGGATGCATAAGAACAGAGAACTTTGAATGCCAGGACAAGGAGGCTGGATAAGCCTATGAACAAAAGGGAAGTAGAGAAGATTTTTGAGTGAGAAAGGGACATGACAAGTGTAGTGTTTGGGTGAGATAAGTATAAGAGGTGTAGGATGGAGTAGGGCAAGAGGCTGAGCCCTTTGGGTAAGGGGCTCAGCCTCCTGGTAAGTGTGGAGTGGGGAATAGGTGAGGCCTCAGGGCCACACTGTGAGGCAGAGCCTGGCCTTTCTGGCTCTGAGATGCCTCTGGGGGCTCAACAGCTCCCTCCACTGTGGGGTCTCCCAGGAGCAAAGTCTGGGGAGAGGGAAGAGGATTCCCACCACCCCTATGCCCACCACACCCCAAAGGATTGAACAGAAGTAGCAGGGGCAGGGCAGGGTCCACACTGAAGTCTTGCAAGGATGCCCAAGGCCACTGTGGCCCAAAACCCTCTGTAACATCCCTGATTGTATGCCAGCTTTGACCTGGGTACCCCACAGATGTCATCGCTGGTTGTTAGCACTGACTTTTCAACATGTGAAATCAAAGCCTGCCTCTGTTTCACTCAATATCTGTACTGGTTCTATACTTTGGGTCACACAAAACTTTAATCCATCCTCCTTGGACTCCACAGGTTTCTGCAATAGTGCCCAAACTCCCTGGGGAGCCCTCCAAGGTTCCTTTTCTGGGGGTTGAATAACTGGAGCTGCCTCAGAGATTTTCTGTATAACCCTGTCTCCTTGAGCTCCCCATTCTACTCATCCTGTTTTCCCCTCCCCACCCTAGGTACTGCAGCTCTGTTAATAGAGCCCCAGATCACACTTAACCTGAGTAGCAGTGTTCACTCTGCCTGCAGGTAGGTATAGGAGAGAAGGGAAAACTCAATATGAAAGCTACATTCTGCCCTACTGTGGCCCACACCTCCACTGTTGCTACCATTCCAGCCCCTGCCTCAAGCTACATGTCCAAAAAATGGACTCAGTGGGTCAGCGCTCCATACTATCTGAGCTGCAAAGAGGGAATGGAGCCATGACTGTCCTAACAAGGAGAAGTAGTAGGCATTCCCTCCCAGCTGGGAACTGGGGGCCTGCACCCGAGGCCCAAGCCACATGGTAACCATAGGCTGGTGCCTGCAGTAGAAGTACCACTCGTGTCCAGGTCAAGAGCTCAGTCTCCCAGTCACCAAGAACCCTAATATACAGCCCCTCCCAATACCTAAGTTTAAGAAACCAAGTTGTGAGTGTAAGGAGGTGCAAAGCAAATTCCGGTAACTGAATCCCTCTTTAAAATGCAAGGAGGTTGAGCTGGGGGAAGCAGGTTGTAGTCATGACTGAGAAGATGCATCCTCTCAGGCTTCTGGGCTGCAGCACCAGCATCCCCTGTAGTGTGAAACTGGGTTGTTACATCTTCAAAGGTACATTTTTTTCCTGGGGAGGGAGTCTGTGGTTTTCATCAGCTTCTCAAAGGATCCATGATTCAGAAAAGATTAAGAGTGCCCCAAAGAGAAGCGGTCAGAGAAGACCTCGGGCCCCCTAATTTCTCCTAGTGGGTAACGCAGTCCCTCCTTGCCTTCTTTAGCTGGGAACCCGCAAAGCCCAGTGCTGCACAAGAGGCACTAGGGAATGGGAAAACTGGGGGAGGGGAGGCAAAGAGACAGAAGCTGCGGTCCTCAGTCTGGGACGGCAGATCCAGACTCTTTCACTGGCCCCCGCCCCCAGCCCTAATTTCGTAGACCGTGGGCAGGTGGAATCTGTTTTGGTCCACTATTGGGCAAACCGCCAAGGCCAGAACGTGCGTCGGCATTAGGAAGGCAGGAGAGGTGAATGGCGAGGGGCGGGGCCTGCCCCTGTGCCCGCTCCCCCTCCAGCTCAGGAGTAGGTAGGGCTCCCCCTGGCGGCTCCGGCCCCCATTCCACTCCGAGGGCGCCCCCACTCTCAATCTTCTACCCCCACCTAGCACAGGTCGGTCTCCGCGGACCAGCAGACCCACAGACGCGGGAACCGGAGGACAGCCGCCGCGAGCGCCCGGGTGGCAGGAGGGGGTGGGGAGGCGACGGCTGCAGCTTGAGGAGCAGGAGCAGGTGCGGCGGCGACGAGCGGGCGGGGCAGGGACGGAGCGCCGGCTGGGGCGCGGCGCTTGCCTGCGTGCGGCCGGGAGCCTGGAAGCCAGAACCCAGAGTGAGCTGGGCCAGGGCCCTCTGGGAGCGAGGGTTATCCGGTGAGCCGGGTGCGGTGGTGACTCCGGAGGGCGCAGGATCCCAAGGAGACAAAAAGGACAGGAGCTGGAGGGGAATCCGACAGCGGCCAGGGCGCTACGGGGGTGGGGTGGAAAAGAGGAGGCATACTTGGAGGTGAGGCTGGGGGTGGCGGTGGTCAGAATATGAAACTGGAGCTTGGAAGGGATCTGGGAGCAGAAATGGTGAGGTGGGAGCAGCGGCGGGGGTTGTGTGAGGTCGGGTTCCTTGGTAAGATCCTGAGGTATTAAGTTCCGAGAGAAGGAAGACTGGGTGGGGAAAAGGGGAGCGAGGGGGAGGTAGAGGGGGCTCAACAGCGGAGGGGAGTTGAGCTGGGAATTATGGCCAGGTGAGGAGCAGGCCTGTCTGGAGGGCTCACTAGGCAATTAGCAGACAGGCTGAGGTGTGAGGCTGGTATAAAGTGAAGCAGGGGCCAGGTGGAGGGGAGGATGACTCTGGTTGGGGAGGCAGCTCAGAAATGAGGCCAGCACAAGTGAGGGTGGTCCCAGAGTGGAAAGGTGCCCAGGGAGGAAACGGCACAGTGAGACTCTAGGCTTGGTCAGGGGGTGCCTCCCATGGGGGAAGCCTCTTCCTGGTGGTCTCTGGAGCTATGCTGTCCCGCAAGGGCATCATCCCTGAGGAATATGTGCTGACGCGGCTAGCAGAGGACCCTGCGGAACCCAGGTACCGAGCTCGAGAGCGGAAGGCCCGCTTTGTGTCCAAGAACGGCAACTGCAACGTGGCCCACAAGAACATCCGGGAGCAGGGCCGCTTCCTGCAGGACGTATTCACCACTCTGGTGGACCTCAAGTGGCCGCACACACTGCTCATCTTCACCATGTCTTTCTTGTGCAGCTGGCTGCTCTTTGCCATGGTCTGGTGGCTCATTGCTTTTGCCCATGGTGACCTCGCCCCTGGTGAGGGCACTGCTGTGCCCTGCATCACCAGCATCCACTCTTTTTCATCTGCCTTCCTTTTCTCCATTGAGGTCCAGGTGACCATTGGTTTCGGTGGGCGCATGGTGACTGAGGAGTGCCCGCTGGCCATCCTGATCCTCATTGTGCAGAACATTGTAGGGCTCATGATCAATGCCATCATGCTGGGCTGCATCTTCATGAAGACGGCCCAGGCCCACCGGCGAGCGGAAACGCTCATCTTCAGCAAGCATGCCGTCATCGCTGTGCGCCACGGCCGCCTCTGCTTCATGCTGCGCGTGGGCGACCTCCGCAAGAGCATGATTATCAGTGCCACCATCCACATGCAGGTGGTGCGCAAGACCACCAGCCCTGAGGGCGAAGTGGTGCCTCTCCACCAGGTGGACATCCCCATGGAAAACGGCGTGGGTGGCAACAGCATCTTCCTGGTGGCTCCCCTCATCATCTACCACGTCATTGATGCCAACAGTCCGCTCTATGACTTGGCTCCCAGCGACCTGCACCACCACCAGGACCTCGAGATCATCGTCATCCTGGAAGGCGTGGTGGAAACCACAGGCATCACCACCCAGGCCCGCACCTCCTACCTGGCTGATGAGATCCTGTGGGGCCAGCGCTTTGTACCCATCGTGGCCGAGGAGGATGGCCGATACTCCGTGGATTACTCTAAGTTTGGCAACACCATCAAAGTGCCCACCCCACTCTGCACAGCCCGCCAGCTAGATGAGGACCATAGCCTGCTGGACGCCCTGACCCTTGCGTCGGCCCGTGGCCCCCTGCGCAAGCGCAGCATGGCTGTGGCCAAGGCCAAGCCCAAGTTTAGCATCTCTCCAGATTCCCTGTCCTGAGCCATTGGCCCCTGGGCCCCCACACCACCACACAGGCAGCGTGGAATGCATGCAGAGTGGATGTGGTGTGGGCCCGTCAGCCAGGCCAGGACCTGGTGTGAGGCTGGCCCCTCCTCAGCTCAGCCTCCCTGCCTGCTGCGCACCCAGGGTATTGCAAGACACTTGTCACTACGCTATTTCTGGCCTCAGCAGGAGCCTGTACTGGGTTATTTTTGTCTCAGCTCCTCCCAACCCCAGCTCAGGACTGGATGTCCCCCTCCCCCTGCCCTAGGCTGGGGAAGCCATGGGAAGTGTTGAGCCATAAAGCAGAGTCTCTGGCCAGTCCTGGGCCCCCATGATTGATTGGGCAGTTGGCTGAGGAAGAACAGTCCCTAGTTTGGGGGGTTGCTGCTCTGTTTCTGTGGCCCCAAGAGATGCCTGTGGTCAGGCCTCAGCCTCCCAGGGTCTCTGAAAAAGTAATGGGCTAATGGGTGGGCCCTGCTAGCTAGGGAGGGCAGTGAATGACCAGGTGCATTCCAAGTGGAAGACTGGAGGGGTGGAGCCTTCACAGACAGAGCAGGCGGAGGCTGACAGGGCTTCCCTCTCCAGGGTAGGCTCAGTCAGCAAGGATGTGGCACGAACCTTAGCAGGCACAGGGAAGAGGAAATGGGCCCCATGCCCAACACCGATGCTTCTACAGGGAGGGCTCCATGGGCTGGGCTGCCTGCTCCCACTCTGTCCCCCACCCTAGGAGGCTGCAGTGGGATGGAACAGATGCTGGTATGCCATGCAGAAAGAGGCTGACCAAGCTGGTCCTGGTTTCCCACCAGTGGCTGCCACTCACTTGGTCCAGCGGGTGGCTGTGGAGGGTCTCTGGGTTGTTAGAAAAGGAAATGTTGGAATGCTCAGGGTGGTGGCAGTGAGTGAGGTCCCTGAGGCAAAGAAGTCCTTGGTCCTGAAGGGCTTGACCCCATTCTGGACTGTTGGATCAGTGCTGTGTGTCCTTGCCCTGAATCCTGCCTTCTCCTTTGTCAATAAAGCCTCCCCCTTCATGACCTGAACTCTGGGCTGTTCTTGCTGGGGAAGCAGGGGACATGCTGATAGACAGCTGCCAGCCCATATTCCATAAGTGAGGCTGGGGAACTGGGAACTGGGGCTGGCACTCTTCCCCCAGTTCAGAGAGATTCTTCCCCTTCTGCCTCAAGTAGCCCAGCCCTGCTAGCCTGTCTGGCCGTCTCAACCTTTGTGCACCCCCCAGGCTTATAGCCCTGGGCCCTGCCTCCACTCCCAGGGATCTGGATGGCTGGGGTGCTCAGGAGGAGAGGCCAGAATGTCACATGCATTAATGTAGTGACTGGAGCATAAACCCTCAAGCCTGGGTTCAAATCCTGCCTCTACCTCTTATGACCTTGGTCAAGTAACTTACCTTCTCTGTGCCTCATTTGCCTCATCTGTACAGTGGGGGATGCTAATAGCACCTACCTCATAGAACTGTTATAGGAGTAAATGAAAAACAGATGTAAAATACTTAAGTGCTTCATCCATAGTAAGTACTCAACAAATATAAGCTGTTGTTATGATTATTGCTGAATCAGCCACATGATGAGACAACTGACCAAGCAAATGTTAAAAGAGAAGATGCTATCATATTTCCCCTGGTGATGAGTTTCTCTACCTGTCTTATTGTCTGCATGGAGCTGCCTCCCAGCACAGACCCACACGCCAGGGGTTGTGGCAGAGCCCAGGACCTAGTCTTCTTGTTTCCATCTCACCTTCTGCGCATCTGCTAAGCGACCACCAGAGTGGTCTTACTAAAAGGGTTGTGATCACTCCCTCCAATGTCATGTACCTTCAGTGGTTGCTCATTGCCTTCTCAGTCAGGGATAGACCCATAGCCAGCACTTCAGGCTTTGCCTGCTTTCCAGCCTTCCAGTTCACTGGTCCCTTGCCAGGACCCTGTGCAACCACCCATCCCGCTGGCAGTCTGACTACCCTCTCCTTGCATATAAATTGAGCTTCCTACCTCTGAGCTTTGGCTTATGTTATTCCCTTTGCCTGTATTGCTCACATCTCATCTCTGCCTGTTGAAATCCATAAAAGTCCAGGCCAAATGATGCTTCATGGGAGCCTTTCCTGATTCCTCTGGAAAGAGATGGTGCCTTCCCTTCCTGTGTTTTGTGGGCACTTTACTTTTCCTGTGTTTATGGGTGTCTTCCCAGCCCCAAGTCCATGGCTCCTTGAGTCAGTGACTGTGCCTGATTCAGCACCGAGCCTGGCACTGAGTAAGTGCCGAATGAATGAGTGAATGAATCTGTTATGGATAGTTTACTGAACAAGCCAGTTTGAGGCCAGCACAGAGCTTTAGTTAGATCAGTGAGTTTAGTTTGGTCCCAGGCTACTCCAGAGACAGGTCTGAGGGGCCAGAAAACTGCTGCTATTGGTCCAAGCTTTAAGCTCCCCACTCCCTGCACCTATACAGTCCCCCACATTGATTCCCTTCCTTGCTGAGCTAACCCACTTCTGGTTTAGAAAGAGGGATGAGAAGCTTCTCTGAGTCAGTCCAGAGTTCTGGGGACAGTGCCTGCCTCTTGGGACTCAGCTTGGCTGTCCTTTAGGCCAGGAGAGGGGCCAGACTCACTAGTGAAAAGCTCCTAAGCAGCACCATCCTTGGGTCCCCACCCAGAATAACCATTCTCCACCTGCTCACGCACCTTAAGCCCCTGGTGACAGTAAACCGGCAGAATTAAGGGCTCAGTGCCACCTGCTGGCCACAGAGAGAAGACCCATTTGATTAGAAAATCCAGGCCGTTTGTCCTAGGCTTTCCCCTTTAAGAAAGATCCCCTAGCCTTACAGCTTAGCTCAGGGAGGAACTGGAAAGTTCCATGCACAGAGAAAGCAACTGGGCCAACCCTTCCTTGCACCCCACCCTAGGTGTTCTTACCCGATGGATGGTTCTTCCTTCACCTGGGGGCACCCCCTCTTTAAGGCACTGGCCTAAACTGCACAGAGAACCTCCCCTGAGCCCCACTCAGCCCAGCAGGAACTTCTGTGAGAAATTTGTTTCTGATATTCTGCTTCCAGGCCAGCTTTGGGCATCACATGAGAGCAAACAGAGCTGTCCAAGCTAGTTCACATCCTGTCTGCAGAACTGGCTCCCCTCCAGGTGCCCTGGTAAGGGGAGGGAAATACCCCTTGTCACTGCAGTCCAGTGCTGAGGGTAGCAATGTTCTGCTCTGAGTTTGCAGATGAGGAAACAGAATCAGATGTGGTGTTAACTTGCTGGGGTATTACAACTAGTAAGTGGCAGACCCAAGATTTGGACCTGAGTCTGTCTCATGACAATGCCCTGCCCCTTTCCCCTTACCACTCAGTCCCAGTGCCCTGAGCTCCAGATTTTATAAGGGTGCCGCCTTGCTCTCAGTGTCAAATCCATCACAGGGAGACAGATGTTTCTAGACCAAAAGGGAAAGTGTAACTTAGGAAGCCCCCTGAGGTCCCAGATGTGAGACTACAAGTTCAGCTGTGGTATGTGACAGCCTAAATCATGTCCAAAACGTGGAGAAACTAACCCACTAGCCATGCTGGAAACCTGTCCAGGCCTACACCTATGGATTTGACACTGCCAGCCAGTCACCATGAGGCCTACTAAGGTGGTCCTCTGGCCCTTTCCTGGAGAGGACTCACCCAGCTTCTACAGGACCCACTGACCTCCCCAGCTAGCACCCTTCCAGCCCTGCCCTGCCCTGGACCTCTTCCCTACACCCTTTCCTAGGGAGCTTGCTGTAAGTGGCCCTGGCTCCCCGTAGTTCTCTGTGCTCACCTCTGAGGTATCCCCACTTGAAGGTATCAGACACCCTATGTTGTATGAAGATAGGCAGAGACTTTGGGGAAGAAGACATGAATTCTTCACATCAAAGTTTTCACCATCCCACCCTGCTCAAAGACTGGGGCAGGTCTGAAGAACAGATCTGTTATAGCTTGAAAGGGCCTGGGGGAAGTCAGAATTGGGTTCCAGAGAGTGGGTGTGCTGCACTAGAATCTAAATGACTGATGTCCTCTCTGCCAGGCCCACCTGCCTGGGGCATTGTATATCTTCAGGGAAAGGGAAGCAGGTGCCAACTACACCTACCCTATTTCCACTCTGGGCAGGCTGCACTCTGGAGGGATGTGAAAGACTGTCCAACTTCGGTACATGAGTGCAGACTGCTGCCTTTCCCCTGACCTGGGGTCCTCCAGGCACCAATGTCAATGTGTGGAACAGGTGATACAAAGTGTATATGCAACTACATGATTTATTTCCTTCACTGGGAGAAGTGGTGTACAGAAGTATGGCTCAGGTCAGCAGTACCCAGAGCCTTCTTCAGCTCACCTTCATGAAAGGGTATCACTCACTCTCTGCAGCACACTACGTCCCAAACTCCTCCTCCCCAGACCATCAGCACCCAACGTGAAGCGAACCAGACTCAGGGCAGCCCTGCCTCCGGGTACTGTTTACTTCACTCGGTTAATACCCATTTTTCTCACAATGCCATTGTTATAGGGGAAGGGAACTTACTCCAGGGTAACCCAGAAAGAAGTAAATGCAATATTTTTAGTACTTAAGTTCCAACTGAGACGTTTTTTGTTAAATTCCTACGTGTCCTTGGTTTCCCATCCATCATAGAAATAAAAGGATGAACATTATCCCCTAATTCTGCCTCTTTTTTGCCTCGCGTCAGGCCTCTCAGGGTCTGACCAGCATGCTTATTTCTGAGCTTAGCAACTCCGTAATGCCTTTTTTTTCTACATCATAGGTTTCCTTCTGATCAATAGTGTCCATTCAGCAATCCCCCACACTTTATATCTTTTTCTCATTTGTGATTCTCCCATCTATTTCCTTCTTTCTCTTGTATTACTTTACTACTCTATTGCATTCTCTACGAAATTACTATGTTTTACTAAATTTATAAAACTTCATTTCTACTTTTTTCCAAAGAGTGTCATTCTTTCCACCACTGTAGACATCTTTGGACTGCTTCAATCTGTCACACAGTTCCGACTCTTGCCACGTTCCTCCTTCCAGTTTACTATGTGAGATTTTTTGCCTTCACTAATTAGTCCTGCAATGGGCACCAACCACACTGGTGCCGCAATACCCATGTGCGGCCACTAGAGGCCACTCTAAATCACCCTCCAATAGGAGCTCAGCTAAAAGAGTCAGTTCAATTACCCCCTCTTAAACCAAGAGATTTCCAGGTCAAGTTATGCCCATATGCTCACTGTGCCCCTCCCAAGCAATGGAAGAGCTGTTTTTAGGATCATTACTCCATAACTTCTGGTAGAGATGTGAACAGGGCTTCTCTGCCTCACAAGTGTCCTGAGATACAACTACGCATCCCTGATAATTGCTTTCAACTGCACTGTATCTTACCCATGACCAACACCTAGCATGAGACTCTCCACAGCCATGCCAGCCTCTCTCCTGGATGAGGTACTTATGCTTAATTAGGAGTAGCACCAATCACCTTGATTCTGTTACAGAAAATAAAGCAATGGTCAAACACACCAATCAACAGGTCCTCCCCTAAGTACAGTCTAGAACTGTTCACAGTGAGCCTCTCCTCTAGACCTAAAGATACAGCTCATCCTTCACAGCCCAGCCTAATGTCAATGTGTGGAACAGGTGATACAAAGTGTATATGCAACTACATGATTTATTTCCTTCACTGGGAGAAGTGGTGTACAGAAGTATGGCTCAGGTCAGCAGTACCCAGAGCCTTCTTCAGCTCACCTTCATGAAAGGGTATCACTCACTCTCTGCAGCACACTACGTCCCAAACTCCTCCTCCCCAGACCATCAGCACCCAACGTGAAGCGAACCAGACTCAGGGCAGCCCTGCCTCCGGGTACTGTTTACTTCACTCGGTTAATACCCATTTTTCTCACAATGCCATTGTTATAGGGGAAGGGAACTTACTCCAGGGTAACCCAGAAAGAAGTAAATGCAATATTTTTAGTACTTAAGTTCCAACTGAGACGTTTTTTGTTAAATTCCTACGTGTCCTTGGTTTCCCA